CTCGCCCTCGCCTCTGCACCAAGCTACGGGCCGCGCGGAGCCGCTTTGAAAGGGCTCGCCGGCCAATCAAAAAGGGACAGCCACGGACCCATGGTGCACTGCTTGGGAGCGCCGGATTGGCTCCCATGCACCAGCACTCCAGCAGCCTCCACACCATTAACGAAACGAGCGGAGGCTCGTTAAAACTATGGGGGCTGCTGGTTCGATATTTAAAACCCCTTCCGGGTTTGGAGATTTGTTTCAATATCGCTTCGGAAATGGTAAAATTAACGAATTATTAACGAATTAACGAATTAACGAACCAAATTGCACAGGCCTAACATTTACCCATCTCTTTCACCTGCTTCCACGTCCTTCAGAAAAGAGGGAGATTGTTTTGAACTTGTTCCAAAATGACCTATAGTTAGCAGCAACATGCAAATTGTGCAGGGTTGCATCAGATGACCCATTAATTACAGGGCAAAGGGTGAAAAACAGGCCATCAATAACTCACCAAATTGATAGGGATTATTATTATTGTATTGTCGAAGGCTTTCATGGCCGGGATCACTGGGTTGTTGTAGGTTTTTCCGGGCTATATGGCCATGTTCTGGAGGCATTCTCTCCTGACGTTTCGCCTGCATCTATGGCAAGCATTCTCAGAGGTAGTGAGGTCTCTGAGGATGCTTGCCATAGATGCAGGCGAAACGTCAGGAGAAAAATTGCCTCCAGAACATGGCCATATAGCCCAGAAAACCCTACAACAACCCATTATTATTATTATTATTATTATTATTATTATTATTATGTACTATTATGTATTATTATGTACTCGCGAGGTGCTTTACGCATGAGTAGGTTGCTGCTCCTTCCTTGGCAGGCTCACGCTATCCGTCAGGTCCGATGGGAGGCTGCCCCGGCGCTCCATGCAATCATGCCGGCCACATGACCTTGGAGGTGTCTACAGACAACGCCGGCTCTTCGACTTAGAAATGCAGATGAGCACCACACCCCAGAGTCAGACACGACTGGACTTCATGTCAGAGGAAAACCTTTAACTAGGAAAATTGTGGAAGATCCAGGGTGGGAGAAAGAACTCTTGTCTGTTGGAGGTGGGTATGAATGTTTCAATTGGCCACCTTGATGACCATTTCATAGCCTGACAGTTTTTAGGGAGGATCCTTTGTTGAGAGGTGATTAGCTGGCCCTGATTGTTTCTTGTCTGGAGTTCCCCTGTGTTTGAGTGTTGTTCTTTATTTACAGTTATAATTTTAGAGTTTTCTTAATACTGGTAGCCAGATTTTGTTCAGACTAGAAATAGGAAGATTTCCCATTCTCTGCTCCTGGAATTACTGCTTAAAGAGGGCTCGTTTTCCGAGGAGGATTGTCTTCCAATATTCTTGTGGGTTTGTATGTGGCTGTGGAGCCCTATTCTTGCTCTGCATCTTCTTCCGCAGTGAGGGCATTGGTTTCCAGGTGGAAGGCAGTCGGGGTTGGCTTGATGCGCCTTCCTCCTGGCACATTTCTCTCTTTCACCCTCCATTCGTGCCTCCTCAAATTCTGCAGCACTGCTGGTCACAGTTGACCTCCAGCTGGAGCGGTCAAGGGCCAGGGCTTCCCAGTTCTCAGTGTCTATGCCAGAGTTTTTAAGGTTGGCTTTGACAACGTGGCCGGTCCAGCGGAGTTGGTGGCAGAGGACCATCGCTTCAGTGCTGGTGGTCTTTGCTTCTTCCAGCACGCTGACGTTTGTCCGCTTGTCTTCCCAAGATTTTTGCAGGATTTTCCGGAGGCAGCACTGATGGAATCGTTCCAGGAGTTGCATGTGACGTCTGTAGACAGTCCACGTCTCACAGGCATATAGCAGAGTTGGGAGGACAATAGCTTTATAGACAAGCACCTTGGTATCCCTACGGATGTCCCGGTCCTCAAACACTCTCTGCTTCATTCGGGAAAATGCTGCACTCGCAGAGCTCAGGCGGTGTTGTATTTCGGTGTCGATGTTGACTTTGGTGGAGAGGTGGCTGCCAAGGGAGCGGAAATGGTCAGCATTTTCTAATGTTACACCATTAAGCTGTATCACTGGCATTGGAGAGGGGTTGGCTGGTGACTGCTGGAACAGAACCTTGGTTTTTTCAATCTTCAATGACAGGCCAAGCTTTTCGTATGCTCCTGCGAGGGTGTTTAGAGTGGCTTGCAGATCTTCTTCTGAATGCGCACAGATGACATTGTCATCAGCATACTGGAGTTTATAACAGATGTTGTTGTAACCTTGGTTTTGGCTTTCAGTCTGCTGAGGTTAAACAGCTTGCCATCTGGCCGATAGATGATTTCCACTCCGGTGGGAAGCTTCCCATCAACAAGGTGAAGTATCATAGCGATGAAGATGGAGAATAAAGTTGGGGCAAGAACACATCCCTGTTTGACACCTGATTCCACCTTAAATGGGTCACTTTGGGAGCCATTGCTGTCCAAGACTGTTGCCATCATGTCATCATGGAGGAGTCGCAGGATGTTCACAAATTTGTTAGGGCACCCGATTTTTTGGAGGATGGTCCAGAGAGCACTGCGATTCACTGTGTCGAATGCCTTTGCAAGGTCAATGAATGTCATGTACAGAGGTTGTTCCCTGCATTTTTCTTGGAGCTGTCGTGCAGTGAAGATCATGCCTACGGTTCCTCTGGAGGGGCGGAAGCCGTTCTGGGATTCTGGGAGGGTGTCTTCTGAGAGGGGCAGAAGGCGGTTTGCAAGGATTCTTGCGAGGATTTTCCCAGCGGAGGTTAGAAGGGAGATACCTCGATAGTTTCCGCAGTCTGTTCTTTCCCCTTTTTTGAAGAGGGTGATGATGGTGGCATCCTTGAAATCTGCTGGGATTTTCTCGGTCACCCACACTTTTTCTATGAGCTGGTGGAGTTGGTGGTGTCAGCGCAGGTCCTCCCTCTTTAAAGATTTCAGCAGGGATCCCATCAGATCCGCTGGCTTTGTTATTCTTCTGTTGGCTGATGGCGTTGCTGACTTCTTCCAGACTAGGCAGTGCTGCAAGCTCATCCCTGGTTTGTTGTCGTGGGATTTGTGAGAGGACCTCTTCGGCCACATTGGAGCTGCGGTTCAGGAGGCTTTGGTAGTGTTTTTTCCAACGTAGTGCAATTGAGTTTTGGTCCTTCAGGAGTTTGGTTCCATCTGATGAGCGTAGAGGCTGTATGCCATGGTTTCTTGGTCCATAGATGACCTTTGTGGTTTTGAAAAATCCCTGGAATTACTGCCTAAAGAGGACTAGAAAGAACCCCCTCCCTCTAAGGGCCCTTCCACACAGCAAAATAAGATATGTGCAATGCGCATAGGGATTTTTTAATTGATTTTTTTTTTAAAAAAAACTATAGTCCGGCCCTCCAACGGTCTGAGGGACAGTGAACTGGCCCCCGGTTTAAAAAGTTTGAGGACCCCTGATATAGACCTTCACAGTGGTTTTCTAATAGCACGAATCCCAGGCATGGGTTAAAGGGAGGACCTCACAAAGCCAAAATGGAGAAAGCAACTGTTCCAACATTACTTTCAATTATTAATCCTGAGCACTGGGTTCAGGTTTATTTGCAGATATTTGAATCCTGGGATCATGGGCACAAGCGCAGATGGTAAAAGTTTACCCAACCAAGGGGGAGGGCAGGATTTATTGATCATCGCCCGCCTTCCAATTTGGCAAATGATCTTGCAGACTATACCTCTGGCCCGCTCCATCCCCAGTACATGTACAAATGCAGTTTGGTACTGCTTTACAACTTCCATGGCTCCATGTGATGTTGATGAGGAGATATTGGAAAAATAGATGTTTGTTTATGTATAAATTGTATATACTTTACAAGCACTGAAATGTATAGAAAATCAAGTTCTCTCTGTATCAGAAAGAATGCTGACAGGACAAGTAAGCTACGTCCAGGCACAGCAAGAGGGAGGGGAACATTCCAGGTGAGAGATAAGCCCATCCTAGTAGCAACAGAGACTGGTACAACTGGGCTCTAAGGAAAGAGCCAATTCCCCCTCCCTCATGACAGGTCAAAGTAGGCCCCTTGATTGATGAATGTAAGCTGTATGCTGCTCTGCTAGAAAGAATTACACGGAAACATGCCTTCTGAATGTTGGAAGATAGAATTTGATATTCCTATGATGCTAAAGTGATGTAGAGAATGATGTCAATGTATGTAGAAGCATGTTCTTTGTTTGCCTGCAATTGGAGGGTATAAAAGCCATAGTCAACAGTGGACACAGCTCCACTCCAGGGTCCCAGCTGGAAATAAAAGCTGTACTTTTCTGACCTCCTGAAAGGATCTCTCTTGATATAATCCCTCCTATAATATGCTGCAACATTTCAATCCTGGGAGATGTTGTGTTTGCACTGCGACAATGGTTAAGAAGATCTTGTCAAACTAAAGCAGACCAAAACAGACCATTGTTGGGAAATGGGAAGATATATTTGATGATGCGGAGGCAGGCTTTTCTCCTAGGACAGTGTTTCCCAACCTGGGGGTCGGGACCCCTGAAGGGTCACAAGGGGTGGGGTGTGTCAGAGGGGTCACCGAATGCCATCAGAAAACATATATTTCTGCTGGTCTTAGGAACCCCTTTGGTAGAGAAGAATGAAGATCTCTCCACCTGTCTTTCTCTTCCTTTTTGGAAACAGACTGAGAATCCTCTCACCCAAAGCCCTCCTCTGCTGTGATTGGCTGGCCTCTCTGCCAAAGGGAGGGCTTAGACTCCAAAAGAGGAGAGGAGAGCAGGCATGCTCTCCCCTAAACCACTATCAATTCCTCCCAAATCCCTCCAGTATTTTCTGTTGGTCGTGAGAGTTCTGTGTGCCAAGTTTGGTTCAATTCCATCGATTGTGGAGCTAAGAATGCTCTTTGAATGTAAATGAACTATGAATCCCAGCAACTACAACTCCCAAATGTCAAGGTCTATTCCCCCCAAACTCCACCAGTGTTCACATATGGGCATATTGAGTATCCATGCCAAGTTTGGTCCAGATCCATCACTGTTTGACCCCACAGTGCTCTCTGGATGTAGGTAAACTACAACTTCCAAACTCAAGGTCAATGCCCACCAAATCCTTCCAGTATTTTCTGTTGGTCATGGGAGTTCTGTGTGCCAAGGTTGGTGGAGTTCAGAATGCTATTTGATAGTAGGTGAACTATAAATCCCAGCAACTACAATTCTCAAATGTCAGGGTCTATTTTCCCCACACTCCACCAGTGTTAACATTTGGGCATATTGAGTATCCTTGCCAAGTTTGGTCCAGATCCATCATTGTTTGAGTCTACAGTGATCTCTGAATGTAGGTGAACTACAACTCCAAAACTGAAGGTCAATGCCCACCTAACCCTTCCAGTATTTTCTGTTGGCCATGGGAGTTCTGTGTGGGAAGTTTGGTTCAATTCCATCATTGGTGGGGTTCAGAATGCTCTTTGATTGTAGGTGAACTATTAATCCCAGCAACTACAACTCCCAAATGTCAAGGTCTATTTCCCCCTAACTCCACCAGTGTTCGCATTCTGGCATATTGAGTATCTGTGCTAACTTTGGTCCAAATTCATCATTGTTTGAATCCACAGTGCTCTCTGGATATAGGTGAACTACAACTCCAAAACGGAAGGTCAATGCCCACCTAACCCTTCCAGTATTTTCTCTTGGTCATGGAAGGTCTGTGTGCTAAGTTTGGTGGAGTTCAGAATGCTCTTTGATTGTAGGTGAACTATAAATCCCAGCAACTACAACTCCCAAATGTCAAGGTCTATTTTCCCCAAACTCCACCAGTGTTCGCATTTTGTGTGTCAAAATTGGTTCTATTCCATCGATGGTGGAGTTCAGAATGCTCTTTGATTGTAGGTGAACTATAAATCCCAGCAACTACAACTCCCAAATGTCAAGGACTATTTCCCCTAGACTCCATCAGTATTTGCATTTTGGCATATTGAGTATCTGTGCCAAGTTTGGTCCAGATCCATCATTGTTTGAGTCCACAGTGCACTCTGGATGTAGGTGAGCAACAACTCCCAAACTCAAGGTCAATGCCCACCAAACTCAGTATCTTTTGTTGGTCATGGGAATTCTGTGTGTCAAGATTGGTTCAAGTCCATCATTGGTGGAGTTCAGAATGCTCTTCGATTGTAGGTGAACTATCAATCTCAGCAAACTGCAACTCCCAAATGACAAAATCAACCTCCCCCCTAACCCTAACCCTAACCCTAACCCTAACCCACCACATTTGGGCATATTGAGTATCTATGCCAAGTTTGGTCCAGATCCATCCATTGCATGAATCCACAGTGATCTCTGGATGTAGGTGAACTACAACTCCCAAACTCAAGGTCAATGCCCACCTAACCGTTCCAGTATTTTCTGTTGGTCATGGGAGTTCTGTGTGCCAAGTTTGGTTCAATTCCATCATTGGTGGAGTTCAGAATGCTCTTTGATTGTAGGTGAACTATAAATCCCAGCAAACTACAACTCCCAAATGACAAAATCAACCTCCCCCTAACCTAACCCTAACCCTAACCCTAACCCAAACCCACCAGTATCCAAATTTGGGTATATCTGGTATTTGGTGGAGTTCAGAATGCTCTTCGATTGTAGGTGAACTACCAATCCCAGCAAACTGCAACTCCCAAATGACAAAATCAACCTCCCCCCTTACCCTAACCCTAACCCTAACCCCAACCCCAACCCTAACCCCAACCCCAACCCTAACTCCAACTCCAACCCCAACTCCAACCCCAACGCCAACCCCAACTGTAACCCTAATCCCAACCCCAACCCTAACCCCAACTCCAACCCCAACCCCAACTCCAACCCCAACCCCAACCCCAACTGTAACCCTAATCCTAACCCCAACCCCAACTGTAACCCTAACCCCAACCCTAACCCCAACCCCAACTCCAACCCCAACCCCAACTGTAACCCTAACCCCTAACCCAAACCCAAACCCTAACCCCAACCCAAACCCCAACCCAACCCAACCCAAACCCTAACCCTAACCCCAACCCCAACCCCAACTCCAACCCCAACCCCAACTCCAACCCCAACCGTAACCCTAACCCCAAACCCAACCCTAACCCTAACCCACCAGTATTTAAATTTGGGTATATTGGGTATTTGGGTATATCCAGTGAATGAAAATACATCCTGCCTATCAGATATTTATATGACAATTCATAACAGTAGCAAAATTACAATTATGAAGTAGCAACGAAATTATGGTTGGGGGTCACCACAACCTGAGGAACTGGATTAAGGGGTCATTAGGGAGATGTTAGGGTCAGTCTTTTTTCTGAGCGGGGATCAATGGCCTTTCCACCCACTCTCTGAGCCCTGGTTCGTACTTCTTGTACTCCTTGAGGAAGGGGCTCCAGTAGGGCTTTGAGTGCTTGCTGAGGGTCTCCAACCCCAACAGGAGCTTCTTGGCTGCTTCAACCATGGAGGCCTGGAGGCTTTCTCCAAATTCTTGCATCTCCTTAGCTTGCAACTCCTTGGAGTAAGAGAACACTTGGATCTTCAGGGACTCCATCGCCTGGTCCAGGCCTCTCTCGTATGCCTGGTACACTTCCACCACCGTGGGCTTGACGTTCTCCTCCAGCCACTCCACGCCCTTAAACGCCTTGGAGGCCACTGGGTCCACGTACAGCGCCAGCGCCTCCATGACGCGGTCCAACTCGTCAGAGTTGTATCGTTTCAACTGATCATAAACCCGGAAAGTCTTCTCCAAGAAGGCCTCAAGGAACTCCTTCGCTTCCCGAAATTCCGGAGGAAGTTCTGCCTCTTGCTCCCGGAGAGTCTCGTAGGTTTTCGCCAGCAGGGAGCTGCAAAGAAGCAAAAACAGATACTTCCAGCATCGAAGGAAACATTGAGGCAGACCTTTGTGTATACTGGCTTTTCTTCTCACTAGGCAACCCACAATGGCTTGGATCTCTCTATCCACAGCCACTCTAAATTGCTCGACAACACTTTCTCTCCTAAACAGTGCTACCCTTAGACAATAAACATCAAATGCAAGAGATATAGGATGGGGGCATGGAAACAGTCCATATAATAGGGACTAGGAGTCTTAGAGGACCACAAGCTGAAGATGAGCCAACAGCTTGATGCAGCAGCTAAAGAAGCCAATGCAATTCTAAGGTGCAGCAATAGGTGTGTAAGATGGCTGAATGGCCATCTGTCAGGAGGGTTACAATTGTGTCTTGCTTTGTAGTTGGACTGGGTGGCCCTTGAGAGTCCCATCCAACTTTAGGATTCCACGATTCTATGGTTCCTTCACTGGAGGCTTTTCAATGGAAGCCAAAGGTCTACCTCTCAGGCTTGTGAGGGATGATGGGACTTGAAATGCTAAATTTCTGGGTGGCACCAAAGGTGGAACCAAACATAGTAAACATAGGGTGGCACCAAACATAGTAAACATAGGGTGGCACCAAACATAGTAAACATAGGGTGGCACCAAACATAGTAAACATAGGGTGGCACCAAACATAGTAAAAGTACTACTGTTTGGCTTCATTTGAACTGCCATGGCTCAATGTGAAGGATTCCTGGGAGTTGCAGTTTGGCCAGGCGCCTACCCTCTTGAGCAGAGAAGGCAAAAGACCTTGTGAAACTACAATGTCCATAGCACTGAGCCATGGAAATTCAAGTGCTGCAGCCAGCCATATCACTCTGGGGGTTCTTACCTGATAATCGTGCTAGGTGCAGAGAAGGCGATTTTCTCTAAGGTCACCGCCACGGCAATGAAGCCACCGTACCCAAACACGTATATTTTGTCCATCAACTCTCTTAACTTGGGCTCTGAACTGGGGGCTTCTCTGATGGTCATGGCTTGGCCCCCTGCAAGACAAAACCAGAATCAAACATATCAGCCTTTTCATTGCTCGCTTTGAGGTCGAATTTAGACCATGGACCGCGGATAAAAGAGGGCCCTGCCTGGCAAGCATCTATATAAATACAAATGCAATGTTAGTTTGTGGGATGAACATAACTCAAAAACCACTGGATGAATTGACACCAAATTTGGACACAATAGACCTATCAGGCCAATGAGTGACCATCACTCATAAAAACACTCAAAAAAACAGCAGAAGGGACTTAAAAGGCCAAGAAACCAAAATACATTACAACTCATGTGAAAAATGACATATATATACGTAAACACACATATACATATAAACACAAATATATACACACACATATACACACACAAAACACATATACACAGACTGGGCCACAGCAACGCGTGTCAGGGGACAGCTAGTTTACAATAACACCTAACGTTTCAGATTAAAGAATACGCACAGTAGGATGATAACAAGCAGCTGGAATGTGTCCAGAGGAGGGCGACTCAAATGATCAAGGGTCTGGAGAACAAGCCCTATGAGGAGCGGCTTAAGGAGCTGGGCATGTTTAGCCTGAAGAAGAGAAGGCTGAGAGGAGATATGATAACCATGTATAAATATGTGAGAGGAAGCCACAGGGAGGAGGGAGCAAGCTTGTTTTCTGCTTCCCTGGAGACTAGGACGCAAGGGAACAATGGCTTCAAACTACAAGAGAGGAGATTCCACCTGAACATGAGGAAGAACTTCCTGACTGTGAGAGCCGTTCAGCAGTGGAACTCTCTGCCCCGGAGTGTGGTGGAGGCTCCTTCTTTGGAAGCTTTGAAACAGAGGCTGGATGGCCATCTGTCAGGGGTGATTTGAATGCAATATTCCTGCTTCTTGGCAGAATGGGGTTGGACTGGATGGCCCAGGAGGTCTCTTCCAACTCTTTGATTCTATGATTCAGAGGCTTTCATTACGATCTGGCCAGAAAGGATACAAGAATGGCTAGTGCCAAAAAGACAAATGTAAACATGCATTGCATAGACTGTTAGATAGGGAACGCATTGTTAGACAGGAATGCATTGACAGTTATCATATTGTGTAAAATACAGTTCTAATGGACATGTGGTCAGACACCTGCTGAATGATTAAGGGAGTGGTGATGGAATTATGTGACATTCACAGACTGGAAAGGCTTAATCATGACTATGTGACATTCACAACGAGGGCTGCATCATTCATTTGTGTCCCTAGTTGATGACGGGTAAGTGGTGGGTATAAAAAAAAGGCAGGAAAGATTTGTTCTTTCTTTTGCCATGTAAAGGACCGGGCTGTGGTGCAGCCAGTTAGTAGCCAGCTGCATTAAATCCCTACTGACTGAGAGGTCATAAGTTCAAAGCCAGCCTTGGTCGGAGCAAGCTCCCGACCATTAATAGTTTAGCTTGCTGTCAACCTATGCAGCCCGAAAGACAGTTTCATCTCTCAAGTAGGAAATTTAGGTACCACTTTATGCAAACAATTAAATCTCATAGGAAAGGGGAAAAAATCATATTTTGTTTAAGTGACCTTGGTGAACTATAAATCTCTGGGACAGGGGTGGGTGGACAAAATCTTCTGAGGCTGACAGAGCGCGACTTTTCCAAAGTGTCTCCCAGGAGGATGTAAATGAAACAAGATCAACAAATCCTTTCCAATAAATAAAAAATAGTGAATTATGGCTTTAGCTGCAAAACCCTTTGGAAAGACAGGGTGCATCTCTGCTATGGAATTAATGCAGTTTGACACCGCTCAAGGCTAGGGAATCCTGGGAGTTGTAGTTTTATTAATCCTGGGAGTTGTAGTTTTATTAATCCTGGGAGTTGTAGTTTTACTTGCCTACACTGTAGACCCAAGGAGGTTTGAAACTGCCATGGCCCAAATGGTATGGAAACCTAGCAGTTATAGTTTTGCAAGGCCTTTTAGTCCTCGTTGCTAAAGAATGCTAGTGCTCTTCGGCAGGGAAGACCAACGACCTTGCAAAACTACAATTCCCAGTATCCAAGAGCATTAAACCATGCCCATTTCCAGCGGTAGAGTCAAGGCAGTTTGAAGCTGCCATGGCCCAAATGGTATGGAAACTTGGGAGTTATAGTTTTGCAAGGCCTTTTAGTTCTTGTTGCTAAAGAGTGCTCTTCGACAGGGAAGACCAACGACTTTGCAAAACTACAGTTCCCAGTATCCAAGAGCATTAAACCATGCCCATTTCCAGTTGTAGAGTCAAGGCAGTTTGAAGCTGCCATGGCCCAAAAAATGCTATGGAAACCTGTGAGTTATAGTTTTGCAAGGCCTTTTAGTTCTTGTTGCTAAAGAGTGCTCTTCGACAGGGAAGACCAACGACCTTGCAAAACTACAATTCCCAGTATCCAAGAGCATTAAGCCATGCCAATTTCCAGCTGTGCCAAACTGCCTTCGTTCAACAGTAGGTGCAACAATGGTAAATGTTAATGTGTTGCTTCTCTTACATCAGAACCAAGCTTGCATCCACACTGTACAGATAATGCAGTTTGTAATAGGCTCTTACTGCCTATTACAGGGAAAACCAGCTGATCCCTAATCCATCTAAAACACAGACATGTGTTTTTCACCTTAAGAACAGACAAGCATCCTGAGCTCTGAGGATTATTACCTGGGAAGGAAGGAATCCCACGGGAGCATTGCAGCGCACCCACATACGTGGGAGTCACTCTGGACCATGCTCTGACCTACAAGAAGCACTGCCTGAACATCAAGCAAAAAGTGGGCGCTAGAAACAATATCATACGAAAGCTGACTGGCACAACCTGGGGATAACAACCAGATACAGTGAAGACATCTGCCCTTGCGCTGTGCTACTCTGCTGCTGAGTCTGCATGCCCAGTGTGGAATACATCTCACCACACTAAAACAGTAGATGTGGCTCTTAATGAGACATGCCGCATTATCACAGGGTGTCTGCGCCCCACACCACGGGAGAAATTACACTGCTTAGCCGGTATTACACCACTTGACATACACTGGGAAGTAGCAGCCAATAGTGAAAGGACCAAGGCAGAGACATCTCCAGCTCATCCCCTGTTTGGGTATCAATCAGCACGTCAACGACTTAAAACTAGAAATAGTTTTCTAAGATCTACAGAAACACTCGCTGGAACACCTCAGCAAGCTAGAGTCCAAAAGTGGCAGGCTCAAACCCAGAACCTCAACCAATGGCTGATACCAAATGAGAGACTCCCCCAGGGCACACAGAAGACGGGACGACTTGGAAGGCGCTGAACAGACTGCGCTCTGGCACCACGAGATGCAGAGCCAACCTTCAGAAATGGCGCCACAAAGTGGAATCCACGACATGCGAGTGTGGAGAAGAGCAAACCACTGACCATCTGCTGCAATGCAACCTGAGCCCTGCCACATGATGCACAATGGAGGACCTTCTTGCGGCAACACCAGAGGCACTCCAAGTGGCGAGATACTGGTCAAAGGACATTTAACCAACTACCAAACTCACAAATTTTGTATTTTGTCTGTTTGTTTGCTTTGTTCTGTTAGAAATGTAATATAATTGACTGGCTGCCCTGACACGACAAATAAATATAAATAAAGTTTGGCACCAGGTGATAGAAACCTGGGTGTTGTAGTATTGCAGTGCTTTTTAGCCAAAGAGTGCAAACTACTATTCTCAGGATTCTGTAGCACCCAGCCATGGGAATTAAAGTGGTTGCAAACTGCATTGATTCTACGGTGTAGATGCATCCCAAGAACAGAGGTAGCACTCACCTGTGACCGCAGTCAAGACAAAGAGCACAACGAGGAGCTTCATGGCTGCAAGAAAGGAGGCTCCGGACAGACCCAGACCCAAGACTCTCTCTCTCTCTCTCTCTGAGAAGGACATCAAGCCTCCCACTCCCTCCCTGCCTCTGGTCACTCATTAACACTGACCACTGCCCTGGGTGCCTTCCCTTCACTTCTCCCTTTGGGACAATCGGGCGATGACCTCTTTGGAGGGGACAGAGGGGACATTTGCCCGTCTCTTTCACCTGCTCCCATGTCCTTCGGGAAAGAGGGAGATTGTTTTGAACTTATTCCAAAATGACTTGGAGTTAGCAACAAAATGCAAATTGTATTTTGCTTTGTTCAGACCTCACCTGGAATACAGTTCTGGGCACCACAATTTAAGAGGGATATTGACCCTAAGCTGAAAGTTGTACAGAGTACGGCAACTAAAGGCACTTCCAGACAGCACTAAATCACGGGTTTTCAACAGGGGCAAAAAATCCCGAGACTTGAGAAGAGATCCACATACAGACCTGTTGGTCCTGGGTTGTGGTGCAGCTAGTTGGGAATCAGCTGCATTAAAATCACTACTTACTGAAAGGTCATTAGTTCAAAGTCAGCCTGGGTCGGAGTAAGCTTCCGACCATTTGTCTAGCTTGCTGTCGACCTTTGCAGCCCGAAAGATAGTTGCATCTCTCAAGTAGGAAATTTAGGTGCCACTTATGCGGGGAGGGTAATTTAACTAATTTACAACGCCATAAAACTCTCCAGCAGCATGTAAAAGAATGAGGAAGTACTCCATCTGTGTCACAAGTGGGCAGTGAAGCAATGAAATGCAAATTGTATTTTGCTTTGTTCGTATCTCACCTGGAATACAGTTCTGGGCACCACAATTTAAGAGGGATACTGACCCTAAGCTGAAAGTTGTCCAGAGGACGGCGACTAAGGGTGCTTCCAGACAGCAGTAAATCGCAGATTTTCAACGGGGGCAAAAAATCCCGGGACTTCAGAAGAGGTCCACATACAGACCTGTTGGTCCCAGGATTTCTCCCTCTGTTATCCAGCCTTGAAGCTTTGTTGTGAGATTTAGAGGTTTCCATGACGGCCACTGAGGGATTTCTGCAAATCACTGGAAAATTTCCGTTCTTTGTCCTGGGCAGAGTAAGCTCCTGACCATTTGTTTTCTTCATCCCTCCTCTCATTTAGAAAGAACTTTAAAACTTGGTTGTGGGACCAGGCCTTCAGGTAATTATATTAACATTGACAATGAAAATGATGACAATTGGAAATGGAGCTTGATAGAGTCTCCGATTAAAGAATTCAGCTAGAGATGGCCACAAGGCTGTTATTTTAAAGCATATTTTAATTATATTGATTTTGTTGTGGCTGAGATATTATGTGATTATGAGGATGATGGGATTCAGATTCCTGGCTCATTTTCTGTGCCTCAGATCTCTGGGCCTGTGGCTCCCACAGACAGCACAGACAGTGCACAGTCAACATCAACACAGCGGAGTTAATCCAGTTTGACACCGCTCAAGGATAGGGAATCCTGGGAGGTGTAGTTTTACTAATCCTGTGAGTTGCAGTTTTACTAATCCTGGGAGTTGTAGTTTTATTAATCCTGTGAGTTGCAGTTTTACTAATCCTGGGAGTTGTAGTTTTATTAATCCTGGGAGTTGTAGTTTTACTAATCCTGGGAGTTGTAGTTTTATTAATCCTGGGAGTTGTAGTTTTACTAATCCTGGGAGTTGCAGTTTTACTAATCCTGGGAGTTGTAGTTTTATTAATCCTGGGAGTTGCAGTTTTACTAATCCTGGGAGTTGTAGTTTTATTAATCCTGAGAGTTGTAGTTTTACTAATCCTGGGAGTTGCAGTTTTACTAATCCTGGGAGTTGCAGTTTTACTAATCCTGGGAGTTGTAGTTTTATTAATCCTGGGAGTTGTAGTTTTACTAATCCTGGGAGTTGCAGTTTTACTAATCCTGGGAGTTGCAGTTTTACTAATCCTGGGAGTTGTAGTTTTATTAATCCTGGGAGGTGTAGTTTTACTAATCCTGTGAGTTGCAGTTTTACTAATCCTGGGAGTTGTAGTTTTATTAATCCTGGGAGTTGTAGTTTTACTATTCCTGGGAGTTGCAGTTTTACTCGCCTACACTGTAGAATCAAGGTGGTTTGAAACTGCCATGGCCCAAATGGTATGGAAACCTGGGAGTTATAGTTTGCAAGGCCTTTTAGTTCTTGTTGCTAAAGAATGCTAGTGCTCTTAGGCAGGGAAGACCAAAGACCTTGCAAAACTACAGTTCCCAGTATCCGAGAGCATTAAGCCATGCCCATTTCCAGCTGTGCCAAACTGCCTTTGTTCAACAGTAGGTGTGCTGCCACATGCTGGGCCTGTAATAATTGATTTTTTAAACATGACGTGCTCTTTGTGCCCAGCGGGGAGCCGGGGTGCCACAGGTAAGAGGCCTTCAAGGATTTTCCCATACACAGTCTTTAGAAGACTTGAAATGAAGCCACCTTGTTGCAAATGCATGGAACCTTGGAATATATGCAAACACTAAATAGAAAGAAAATGAAGCTGAAGCTCCTGGTACAGCCGTACCAGCACAGTTCTAATGGGTTGAGTAATCTGTAAGTAAGAGTTCATGGGTGAAAGCAATTAAGGTTGGAGGTATGCAAGAGATAGGTTGCAGCTGGGTGTTTCTGGATATAAGGAGCGAGCCTGGGAAATGATCTTTGAGAAAAAAAGTATTTATCATATTTTGGTGGTGGATGCTGCTGGTTTCCCCCCAGGTCTCTGGATTTTTGGTATCCTGACCTGTCTCCTGAACTCTTAGAATCCTGGAAACTTGAATCTTTGAACTGGCTTTTGACTACGGTATAGACTCTTGATCCCAGGACTTTGTTTCTTGAATTCCCGGCGTTTGACCACTGGACTCAACCTTTGACTACGGAGTAATCTTGAACATGCAACTGAAGTCAATAGGAACTTTAGAAGTGTCTACCCCAGGAGGAGAGACCCTGTGGCCCCACCAAAGGGGGATCGCTACATTGGTGAGCAAAGAGAAGCCTAATTTTAAGCAATTTATTTTCCCTAAGTTCCCAAAAAGAATCTCACCAAAGTTGAAGAAAGTGCCACCGAGGTTTATTAGCGATTCAGCTGAAAAGGATGCAAAGCCGCGATCATTTGTCAAGCAGAGCATGTGGTTACAGAAATAAAGTGGAAATAAAGGGGTACCCATTTTTCTTGTCTGTTACAGAAATAAAGGCCATTTTAATAGAAAATACAGAGTTGTGAGTTTCAAAATTCCTGCTCCCCCCCCCTCACCCAGCTCGAAGGGGATTGGCTAACGCGCAAACAGTTGAAGGAGGCTTGGCCGTCCCCCATGCGTCAGGACCAATCACAAGGCTTTTGCAGTGCGCCAGAGCCAATCAGGAGGCTCCTGCTGCCTCAACGCACCAGCGAATCGAAAGGGAGGGAAGCGGGACAAAGGGATACAGTGCATTCTTGAGTGGATTATGGAGTTTAATGTCCTGGAAGTTTAACGAGTCCAGAACCGGCCTGCCAGAAAAACCAAGGCTATTGTCTTGAGATGGGTCTGCGATAAGCATTGATTACTTAATCTGGGTTTTCCTCTTGCGATCAGATAGGGCACAAAGGGGGAGGCTTTGGTGAATGTCTTTAGTGGAGAGATTTGAAAGAAAAACGGGTTTTGGGAAGAAGGACTTTTTGAAGGTCATCTTTCCCCCATTGTTATATGATTAAAAGTTTGCCAAGCGAAAATCTTCTTGATGGCCCGACTCCGAAGTCAAGAAAGATAATTCTTTGTTATTTTCCATGCAAGTAATGTCCTAAGATAAGGGGCTTTCATGATCACTGATTGCTTTTTTTCAGAGGCAGGGCAACTTCCTTATGTAATTTCCTCAAGGAGAGGGAAAGGGGGCAAACGAGTCAGGGCAAGGTCAGATTCATGAAGGGAAATATAGAAATACAGGAGAAAATATGAAAATATAGAAATCATAATACAGAGAGTAAACCCAACTATCCTCCCTCAGTGTCCATAGTTCATATTATTCATAGGAAGGTCCATAAAGGGAAATCTATCCATGAGAGGGAAAGAGAGTCCCTTGTTTGTGAGATGGGGGGCCATCAGGAGCCCAGGTGTGTCTCAGATGGAAAAAGTCAAATACTTTTGTGGCATGATTTTCAGTAATAAATTGGTTACCTTCTGCTGTAAACATATGAATAGGGCATAAAGCCTTGATTAAATGATACACACCAAACTGACCAAGGCTTAACCCTGGACAAGAAGTTAAACATGAGCCAACAATGTGATGTGGCGGCAAAAAAAGCCAATGGGATTTTGGCCTGCATCAATAGGAGCATAGTGTCTAGATCTAAGGAAGTAATGCTACCCCTCTATTCTGCTTTGGTTAGACCACACCTGGAATATTGTGTCCAATTCTGGGCACCACAATTCAAGAGAGATATTGACAAGCTGGAATGTGTCCAGAGGAAGGCGACTAAAATGATCAAGGGTCTGGAGAACAAGCCCTATGAGGAGCGGCTTAGGGAACTGGGCATGTTTAGCCTGAAGAAGAGAAGGCTGAGAGGAGAGATGATAGCCATGTATAAATATGTGAGAGGAAGCCACAGGGAGGAGGGAGCAAGCTTGTTTTCTGCTTCCTTGGAGACTAGGACGCGGAACAATGTCTTCAAACTACAAGAGAGGAGATTCCATCTGAACATTAGGAAGAACTTCCTGACTGTGAGAGCCGTTCAGCAGTGGAACTCTCTGCCCCGGAGTGTGGTGGAGGCTCCTTCTTTGGAAGCTTTTAAGCAGAGGCTGGATGGCCATCTGTCAGTGGTGATTTGAATGCAATATTCCTGCTTCTTGGCAGGGGGTTGGACTGGATGGCCCATGAGGTCTCTTCCAACTCTTTGATTCTATGATTCTATGATTCTATGATTATCCAGCCTGGTTTCCTTGCTCTTAGCAAAACTATAAGTTGCTATCTCTTATGAAGGGGGGGGGGGGGAGGTCATGTTCGACTTCACAACAGTGTTTGCTATTTTTGTTTATTCTGTGGCTGAGTGCAATCTTTATGTTTTACATTTTGGACTAATAAAACAGCCAGAAAGTAAGTGCTGTTTTAATTAAATTGTTTTATACACCTGGGTTGTTGTTTGGTTCATCTCTGCCTCTGAATAAGGCGGAGCCCTGGCAACGTGATAGCTGTCTTCTTTCGGAGGGGGGAACAAAGGTCCTGTTATCCACTCCATGAGCGCTGGGTCGTACTTCTTGTACTCCGTCAGGAACGGGACCCAGTAGGGCTTCAAGTCTGCGTTGAGGGTCTCCACCCCCAGTCGGAGCTGCTTGGCCACTTCATTCAGCGGGGCTTGGAGGCTTTCCCCGATTTCTTCCAGGTCCTTGGTGTAAGGGGACAGTGTGCTCATCAGGGACTCTATCGCTTGATCAAAGGGTCTCTCGATCTCTTGGTATATATTGATCGCTGTGGGCCCGACGTTCTGCTCCAGCCACTCCACGCACCAAAACGCCTTGGAGGCCACTGGGTCGACGTACAGTGCCAGCGCTTCTGTGATTACTCTTAATTCATTATAATAGCGCCATTTCCACTCAAAGAAAGCCCAAAAAGACTTCCCCAAGGCAGCCCAACTGAGAGTCGACACTTTCTCCATTGCTTCCCTCATCTCAGGAGGAAGCTCTCCCATTTGCTGCCAGAGGGTTTCCAAGGTTTTCTCCTGCTGTTCCCTGCAAAAAAAAAGCATAGCAGATACATCCAGGAGCAAAGTGGAAACATATATATCGCAAATATTGTATGTTTTAAGATGGGTTTGGGTTGTCACCCTTGTTTGGCCCTTTCTCCCCTAAAAGACCCAAATGGTGCAACACAAAGGCAAAAAACATGAAATGCAAGAGATATAGGGTTCAGGGCACCTGGTTAGGAAGAACTTCCTGATGGTAAGAGCTCTTCTATAGAGGAATATGGACTACTGGTGGAGTCTGGATGGCCATCTATCAAGAAGGATCAAATTGTGCCTTTATGGCAGAAGGAGGTTGGACTGGATGGCCCATGGGATCCTTTCTGTCAGGTTTTACAATGTATTGCAATGTAATATAGCTGAGTCATGCACTGCTAATGGGCTTCTATTGGGAATGCTGAGTCATGCATTGATTGTATATGGGGAATCATTTGGGGAATGTGTTCTGGCCTAGTCCAGGTGATTGTGAATGATGCAATCCTGGGTTTGAGTTGAGTCAATGAGTTGGGAACCAATCGGTGATTGCTATGTGTAAATGAATTGTATATAAGGAAGTCATGTACAGTGTATATTTCTCCTTGTGCTGTGATGTTGTTTGTCGAAGGCTATATGTAATTAAAGAACCTGTCTGTTAGACAAGATATAACTGTATACTGTGGTAAGTTTGTAATGTCATCTAGACTGGGGGAAAGCAGGAAGAAGCTACTGAAAGCGCTGAAGTTGTGCAACTGATCTGCTGCTGAATTGTGAAGTTACTCTCAACACTTCTATTGGGAATGCTGAGTCATGCATTGATTGTATATGGGGAATCATTTGGGGAATGTGTTCTGGCCTAGTCCAGGTGATTGTGAATGATGCAATCCTGGGTTTGAGTTGAGTCAATGAGTTGGGAACCAATCGGTGATTGCTATGTGTAAATGAATTGTATATAAGGAAGTCATGTACAGTGTATTTTTCTCCTTGTGCTGTGATGTTGTTCGTCGTAGGCTATATGTAATTAAAGAACCTGTCTGTTAGACAAGATATAACTGTATACTGTGGTAAGTTTGTAATGTCATCTAGACTGGGGGAAAGCAGGAAGAAGCTACTGGAAAGCGCTGAAGTTGTGCAACTGATCTGCTGCTGAATTGTGAAGTTACTCTCAACACTTTCCAACTCTAGGATTTGATGGATACAGCAGCTAAAGAGGCCAATGCCATTCTAAGCTGCATCAGTAGATGTATAAGTTAGCTGAATGGCCATTTGTTGGGAAGGCTTTAATGCTGTCTTGCTTTGTGGAGCATTGGGGTTGGACTAGATGGCCTTTAGGAGTCATGCCAAAGGGGGTTGGACTAGATGGCCCTTGGGATCCCTTCCAACTCAAGGATTTGATGGATACAGTAGCTAAAGAGGCCAATGCCATTCTAAGCTGCATCAATAGATGTGTAAGTTGGCTGAATTGCCATCTATCGGGAGGGCTTTAATACTGTCTTGCTTTGTGGAGCATTGGGGTTGGATTAGATGGCCTTTAGTAGTCCCATCCAATGTTAGGATTCCAGGATTCCATGATTTGTTCATTGGAGGCTTTTCAATGAAAGCCAAAGGTCTACCTCTCAGGCTTGCAAGGGATGATGGGACTTGCAATCCAAAATTTCTGGGTGACAATGGAAGTTCATCGGAGTGTGGTGGAAGCAGTTTCCTTCCTATTGTGTCCAATTCTGAGCACCACAATTGAAGAGCGTTATTGACGAGCTGGAATGTGACCAGAGGGAGCGACTAAAATGATCCAGGGACTGGAGAACAAGCCCTATGAAGAGCGGCTTAAAGAGCTTCACATGTTTAGCCTGAAGAAGAGAAGGCTGAGAGGAGATATGGTAGTCATGTATAAATATGTGAGAGGAAGACACAGGGAGGAGGAGGGAGCAAGCTTGTTTTCTGCTTCCCTGGAGACTAGGACGCAATGGAACAATGGCTTCAAACTACAAGAGAGGAGATTCCACCTGAACATGAGGAAGAACTTCCTGACTGTGAGAGCTGTTCAGCAGTGGAACTCTTTGCCCCAGAGTGTGGTGGAGGCTCCTTCTATGGAGGCTTTGAAACAGAGGCTGGATGGCCATCTGTCAGGGTGCTTTCAATGCAGTATTCCTGCTTCTTGGCAGAATGGGATTGGGAATGGGAAATGGGAATGGGAAAACAATCAGGGACAGCTAATCACCTCTCAACAAAAGTTTGCTCCAGGCACTGCCAGGCTATCAAATGCTAATCAAGGTGGTCAGGTGACACATTCACACCTAGCTCCAGCAGACAAGAGTCCTTTGTCCCACCCTGTTTTTTCCACAGATACATAAACCCATTTTCCTACTTCCAACAGACCTCACTACCTCTGAGGATGCTTGCCATAGATGCAGGCGAAACGTCAGGAGAGAATGCCTCTAGAACATAGCCATATAGCCCGAAAAAACCTACAACAACCCAGAATGGGATTGGACTGGATGGCCCATCAGGTCTCTTCCAACTCTAGAGTTCTATGATTCTATGAGATTTTTAAACAGAAGCTGAATGGCCTAATAATAATAATAATAATAACAACAACAACAACACCCCCCCCCCCCCCCCCCCCCCGACAAATGCAATTAAGGCCAGGATCAAAAAATCATAGGATGACCCAAAATGCAGACTGTGTAAGGAAGTGGATGAAACCATGGACCATCTCCTCAGCTGTTGCAAGAAAATCACAGGGACGGACTGCAAACAGAGGCACAACTCTGTGGCCCAAATGATTCACTGGAACCTATGTCACAAGGACCACTTGCCAGGTGTCAAGAACTGGTAAAGAGACCATAAACCCGCAAAGGTCATGGAAAATGAACACGCAAAAATCCTGTGGGACTTTGGAATCCTGACTGACAAAGTTTTGGAACACAATATGCCAGACATCACGATTGTGGAAAAGGAAAATGTCTGGATTATTGAGGTCACCATTCCAGGTGAGAGTCGCATTGAGGAAAAACAACAGGAGAAACTCAGCCGCTATCAAGACCTCAAAATCGAACAGCAAAGGCTCTGACGGCATAAACCAGTCCAGGTGGTCCCAGTGGTCATGGGCGCACTGGGTGCCGTGCCAAAAGATCTCAGCTGGCATTTGGAAACCATAAACATTGACAAAACCATGATCTGTCAACTGCAAAAGGCTACCTGACTTGGATCTGCGCACATCATTCGGAAATACATCACACAGCCCTAGATGCTTGGAAAGGGTTTGTTTGTGAATGTGAAACATTGAAAGTCTATTTCAGAAAAGTAAACCAAGTATATTATACTGACTGTAAGCCTCAAGATTACAACAAAACACAAATGTAACCACAAGTGTTGGAGCCAGAAGTTATAAATAAACTGTGTTACTTCGTTATACAGAAGTGTGTCTCAGTGCCTGTACAAAGGTTAAAGAGCACACAGAAAGTCCCAGCCAAGATAAAAGAAGAAACTGAATCATTGTAAGAGTAAAAAGGTTTTTTCTTAAATAAAGAAACAGTCTCTCTCCCTCGCTACAGATGATAAAAAAAAAACATCAATTCATCCAGGTGTCCCCTGCCGACAGCCAATTCTCTCACACCAGAAGTGACTTGCAGTTTCTCAAGTTGTTCCTGACATGACATAACAACAACAACAACAACAACAACAACAATAATAGAGCTGTATTTCTATCCCGCCCCCCTCTCCCAGGGGACATCTATACAGGATGCTTTTATTGTGCTTTCCCTGCATGACAGATTGGTTGTTTACAGGATGGCCTAGGATGCTAGGATTCTAATGCAGTTTGACACTACTTGAACTGTGATGGTCCAATGCTAGGGATTCCTGAGAGTTGCAGTTCGGCCAGGCACCCACCCACTTGGGCAGAAAAGGCAAAAGGCCTTGTGAAACTACAATGTTGTCTATAGCATTGAGCCGCAGCAGTTCAAACGCTGCAGCCATGTCAGAGTGGTCTGCTTACCCGACAGTCCTGACAGGCTCATAACTGCGGATGGTATTGAATTTCTCCGTTATGGCATGGAAGGCTTCTGTCCAGAATCCGTATATTTTCCCCATCAACTCTTCTAACTTGGGCTCTGAATGGTGGTCTTCTCTGATGGTCAAGCCCTGGCCTCCTGCAAGACAAAACCAGACTCATATGTATCAACTTTTCCATTGCTCCCTTCTGAGGCTGAGAGAGTGTGACTTGCCCAAAGTGTCTCTCAAGAGGATGTAAACAAAGCAAAACCAAGCTTTCCAATAAATAAAAAATAGTGAATTATGGTTTTAGCTGCAAAACCCTTTTGAGAGACAGGGTGCATCTACACTGCAGAGTTAATGCAGTTTGAAACTATTCTGGGAGTTATAGTTTAGCAAGACCTCTTAGCCTCCTCTATCAAAGAGTGCTGGGGCTCTTTGGTAGGGAAGATCAGCAATCTTGCAAAACTACAATTTCACTGCGTAGTTAATACAGTTTGACACCAGTCAAGGCTAGGGAATCCTGGGAGTTATAGTTTAGCAAGGCCTCTTAGACTCCTCTACCAAAGAGTGTTGGGGCTCTTTGGCAGGGAAGACCAACAATCTTGGAAAACTACAGTTCCACTGTGGAGTTAATACTGTTTGACACCTCTCAAGGCTAGGGAATCCTGGGAGTTATAGTTTAGCAAGACCTCTTAGCCCCTTCTACCAAAGAGTGTTGTGGCTCTTCGGCAGGGAAGACCAACAGTCTTGCAAAACTACAGTTCCACTGTGGAGTTAATACAGTTTGACACCGCTCAAGGCTAGGGAATCCTGTGAATTGTAGTTTTACTAAGGACTCACCTACACCTTAGAATCAAGGCGGTTTGAAACTTCCGTGGCCCAAAAGTTATGGAATCCTGGACTCTTTGGCAGGGAAGACCAACTATCTTGCCAAACTACAATTCCACTGCGGAGTAAATACAGTTTGACACTGCTCAAGGCAAGGGAATCCTGGGAGTTGTAGCTTTACTAAGGGCTAATCCTGTAGAATCAAGGCTGTTTGAAACTGCCATGGCCCCAAAGTTGTGGAATTATGGGAGTTATAGTGGGTTGTTGTAGGCTTTTTCGGGCTATATGGCCATGGCCTAGAGGCATTCTCTCCTGACGTTTCGCCTGCATCTATGGCAAGCATCCTCAGAGGTAGTGAGGTCTGTTGGAACTAGGAAAAAGGGTTTATATATCTGTGGAATGACCAGGGTGGGACAAAGGACTCTTGTCTGCTGGAGCTGGTGTGAATGTTTCAACTGACCACCTTGATTAGCATACAATACACAAGCATGTGGAGAGGAAGCAAACAAGGACCTCAAATCACCTCTCAACAAAAGTTTGCTATAGGCACTGTCAGGCCATTATATGCTAATCAAGGTGGTCAGTTGAAACATTCACACCTAGCTCCAGCAGACAAGAGTCCTTTGTCCCACCCTGGTCATTCCACAGATATATAAACCCATTTTCCTAGTTCCAACAGACCTCACGACCTCTGAGGATGCTTGCCATAGATGCAGGCGAAACGTCAGGAGAGAATGCCTCTAGACCATGGCCATATAGCCCGAAAAAACTACAACAACCCAGTGATTCCGGCCATGAAAGCCTTCGACAATATATGAGAGTTATAGTTTTGCAAGACCCCTTTGCCCCCCCCCCCCCCACCAAAGAGTGCTGGGGTTTTTCGGCAGAGAGGACCGACGACCTTGCAAAACTACAATTCCCAGTATCCAAGCCATGCCCATTTCTAGCTATGCCAAACTGCATTTGTTCAACAGTAGGTGCAACAATGGTAAATGTTAACTTGCTGCTCTTACATCTGAACCAAGCTTGCATCCACACTGTAGAGAGATAATGCAGTTTGGCACCAGGTAATAGAATCCTGGATGTTGTGGGTTTGCAATGCTTTTTAGCCAAAGAGTGCAAACAGTTATTCTCAGGGTTCTGTAGCACTCAGCCATGGGAATTAAAAGTGGTCACAAACTGCATTAATTCTACAGTGTAGATGCACCCAAGAGAAAAGGTGGCACTCACCTGTGACCACGGTCAAGCCAAACAGCACAACGAGGAGCTTCATGGCTGCAAGAAAGGAGACTCCGGACAGACCCAGACCCAAGACTCTCTCTCTCTCTCTCTGAGAAGGGCATCAAGCCTCCCACTCCCTCCCTGCTTCTGGTCACTCATTAACACTGACCACTGTCCTGGGTGCCTTCCCTTCGCTTCTCCCTTTGGGACAATCGGGCATTGACCTCTTCGGAGTGGGACGGAGGGGACATTTGTCCATCTCTTCAACCCAGGAGATTGTTCTGAACGTGTTCCAAAATGACCTGGAGTTAGCAGCAAAATGCAAATTGCACATGTTCACAAGGGATGACCCATTATTTCCAATCCAAACGAGCCCAAGTGTCCTCTCCAAATGAATAGGGAATCATGCGCACGTTCGCATCGGACGACCCATTATTTGCAATCTAAATGGGCCAAGGTGTCCTCTCCAAATGGATAGGGAATCATGTCCGTGTTCACATTGGACAGCACATTATTTCCAATCCGAACAAGCCAAAGTGTCCTCTCCAAATGGATAGGGAATCATACACATGTTCGCATCGGCTGGCACATTATTTCCCATCCGAACAAGCCAAACTGTCCTCCCCAAAAGGGTAGGGAATCATGCGTATGTTTGCATTGGACGGCACATTATTTCCAATCCAAACAGGGCCAAGTGTCCTCTCCAAATGGATAGGGAATCATGCGCATGTTTGCATCGGACCTCACATGATTTCCAATCCAAAGGGCCAAAGTGTCCTTTCCAAAATGGATAGGGAATCATGCGCATGTTCGTGTCGGATGGCACATTATTTCCCATCCAAAGGGCCAAAGTGTCCTCTCCAAAACGGATAGGAGATCATGCACATGTTCGTATCAGACGGCACATTATTTCCAATCCAAATGGACCAAGTGTCATCTCCAAATGGACAGGGAATAATGTGCATGTTTGCGTCAAATGGCACATTATTTCCAATCCAAACGGGCCAAAGTGTCCTCTCCAAATGGATAGGGAATCATGTGCATGTTCGCATCAGATGGCACATTATTTCCAATCCAAATAGGCCAAAGTGTCTTCTCCTAATAGATAGGGAATCATGCGCATGTTCACATCGGACGGCACATTATTTCCAATCCAAATGGGCCAAACTGTCCTCTCKAAATGGATAGGGAATCATGCACATGTTCGTATTGGACGGCACCTTATTTCCCATCCAAAGGGCCAAAGTGTCCTCTCTAAAATGGATAGGGAATCATGCACATGTTCGTATTGGATGGCACATTATTTCCCATCTAAAGGGCCAAAGTGTCCTCTCCAAAATGGATAGGGAATCATGCACATGTTCGTATCGGACGGCACCTTATTTCCCATCCAAAGGGCCAAAGTGTCCTCTCCAAAATGGATAGGGAATTATGCGCAGGTTGGTATCGGACGGCACATTATTTCCCATCCAAAGGGTGAAAGTGTCCTCTCCAAAATGGATAGGAAATCATGCACATATTCATATCGGATGGCACATTATTTCCCATCCAAAGGGCCAAAGTGTCCTCTCCAAAATGGATAGGGAATCATGCACATATTCATATCGGATGGCACATTATTTCCCATCCAAAGGGCCAAAGTGTCCTCTCCAAAATGGATAGGGAATCATGCACATGTTCGTATTGGACGGCACATTATTTCCCATCCAAAGGGCCAAAGTGTCCTCTCCAAAATGGATAGGGAATCATGCACATGTTCGTATCGGACGGCACATTATTTCCAATCCAAACGGGCCAAAGTGTCCTCTCCAAATGATAGGGATTCATGTGCATGTTTGCTTGCATTGGACGGCACATTATTTCCAATCCAAATGGACCAAAGAGTCTTCTACAAATGGATAGAGAATCAGGTCCGTGTTCACATCGGATGACACATTATTTCCAATCCAAATGGGCCAAAGTGTCCTCTCCTAATGGATAGGGAATCATGCACATGTTTGCATCGGATGGCACATTATTTCCAATCCAAATAGGCCAAAGTGTCATCTCCAAATGGATAGGGATTCATGTGCATGTTTGTTTGCATTGGATGGCACATTATTTCCAATCCAAACAGGGCCAAGTGTCCTCTCCAAATGGATAGGAAATCATGTGCATGTTTGCATCAAATGGCACATTATTTCCAATCCAAATGGGCCAAACTGTCCTCCCCAAATGGACAGGGAATCATGCGCACGTTCACATCGGACAGTACATTATTTCCAATCCAAACGGGCCAAAGTGTCCTCTCCGAATGGATAGGGAATCATGTGCATGTTCGCATCAGACAGCACATTATTTCAAATCCAAATGGGCCAAAGTGTCCTCTCTGAATGGATAGGGAATGATGTGCATGTTCGCATCGGACGGCACATTATTTCCAATCCAAACGGGCCAAAGTGTCACCTACAAATGTATAGGGAATCATGTGCATGTTTACATCGGATGGCACATTATTTCCCATCCAAATGGGCCAAAGTGTCCTCTCCAAATGGATAGGGAATCATGTGCATATCTGCATCAGACGGCACATTATTTCCAATCCAAATGGACCAAAGAGTCCTCTACAAATGGATAGAGAATCATGTCCGTGTTCACATCGGACGGCACATTATTTCCAATCCAAATGGGCCAAACTGTCCTCTCCAAATGGATAGGGAATCATGCACACATTCACATCGGACAGCACATTATTTCCAATCCAAAGGGCCAAAGTATCCTCTCCAGATGGATAGGGAATTATGTGCATGTTTACATCGGACAGCACATTATTTCCAATCCAAAGGGCCACAGTGTCCTCTCCAAATGGATAGGGAATCATGCACATGTTTGCATTTGACGGCACATTGTTTCCAATTCAAATGGACCAAAGAATCCTCTCCAAATGGAAAGGGAATCGGAGGCGCATGTTCGCATTGGATAGCACATTATTTCCAATCCAAATCAGCCAAAGTGTCCTCTCCAAATGGACAGAGAATCATGTGCATGTTTGCATCAGACAGCACATTATTTCCCATCTAAAGGGCCAAACTGTCCTCTCCAAATGGATAGGGAATGATGCACATGTTCACATTGGACAGCACATTATTTTCAATCCAAATGGACGAAAGTGTCCTCTCCAAATGGATAGAGAATGATGCGCATGTTTGCATCAGAAGTGCAAAGACTCACCTGTCAGGTGCAGGTAAATGGGACCATGCTGTATATATTTACAATGTTTTCCTTGCCGCAGCTCGAGACATAGCATGAAAGGGCTATGAATTCCTAAGAGATGTAGTTTGGAGAGGGGACTAGAAGGCAAAAGACCTTGTGAAACTACAACTCCCAGGATTCCATTACATTGAGTCCTGGCAATAAAAGCGGGGCCCAATTTGCAGTGCAGATGAATCCTGGGATGCCTGTTCTGTGCAAGTATTTCCTCTCCAGGTGAGTCTCCATCTGATGGGATCCTGGGAGTTGTAATTTTGAATCCAAAGAGTGTTAGACCCCCTCCAAGCTATAACTCCCAGGATCCCATTGCGTCAAGCCATGGGAACTAAAGTAGAGTGAAACTGGAGCAATTCAACAGTGTGCATGCTCCCATATATTGGTTGGAGGCCTACAATAGAGATGAAGAGCAGCTAGAGGTGCATCTGCACTGCAGCGCTCTTTGACAGAGAAGGCGAAAGACCTTGTGAAACTGCATCTCCCAGGATTCCATCTCATGGAGCCACCACAGTTAAAGCAGGGGCCAAATTGCATTCATTCTACAGTATAGACCAGTGGTTCTCAACCTTCCGAATGCTGTGACCCCTGAATACTGGCAGGGTTGGGGGGGGGGGGGGGGGGGGGGGGGTGAGGTGATTGATTTTGTCATTTGGGAGTTGTAGTTGCTGGAATTTATAGTTCACCTACAATCAAAGAGCATTCTGAACTCCACCAACTATGGAATTGAACCAAACTTGGCACACAGAACTCCCACGACCAACAGAAAATACTAGAAGGGTTTGGTGCGCATTGACCTTGAGTTTGGGAGCTGTAGTTCACCTGCATCCACAGAGCACTGTGGACTCAGACAATGGTGGATCGGGATCAAACTTGGCACAAATACTCAATAGGTGCAAATGTAAACACTGGTGGAATTTGGGGGAAATAGAGCCTGACATTTGGGAGTTGTAGTTGCTGGGATTTCTAGTTCACTTACAATCAAAGAGCATTCTGAATTCCACCAATGATGAAAATGATGCAAACTCGGCACACAGAACTCCCATGATCAGCACAGAATACTGGAAGGGTTTGGTAGACATTTACCTTGACTGTGGGAGCTGTAGTTCACCTACATCCAGAGAGCACTGTGGACTCAGACCATGATGGATTTGAACGAAACTTGGCACGGATACTCAATAGGCCCAAATGTAAACATTGGTGGAATTTGGGGGAAATAGACATTGACATTTAGGAGTTGTAGTTGTTGGGACTTATAGTTCACCTACAATCGAAGAGCATTCTGAACTCCACCAATGATGGAAATGACGCAAACTTGGCACACAGAACTCCCATGACCAGCACAGAATACTGGAAGGGTTTGGTGGACATTGACCTTGACTTTGGGAGCTGTAGTACACCTACATCCAGAGAGCACTGTGGACTCAGAGAATGGTGGATTGGGACCAAACTTGGCACGAATACTCAATAGGCCCAAATGTAAACACTGGTGGAGTTTGGGGGAAATAGTGCTTGACATTTGGGAGTTGCAGTTGCTGGGATTTCTAGTTCACCTAAAATCCAAGAGCATTCTAAACTCCACCAATGATGGAAATGACCCAGACGCAGCACACAGAACTCCCATGACCAGCACTGAATACTGGAAGGGACCAAACTTGGCACGAATACTCAATAGGCCCAAATGTGAATAATGGTGGAGTTTGGGGAAAATAGACCTTGACATTTAGGAGTTGCAGTTGCTGGGATTTCTAGCTCACCTACAATCAAAGAGCATTCTGAACTCCACCAATGATGGTAATGACTCAAACTCTGCACACAGAACTTCCATGACCAGCACAGAATACTGGAAGGGTTTGGTGGACATTGACCTTGACTTTGGGAGCTGTAGTGCACCTATATACAGAGAGCACTGTGGACTCAGACAATGATGGATCTGGACCAAAATTGGCATGAATACTCAATAGGCCCAAATGTAAACACTGGTGGAGTTTGGGGAAAATAGAACTTGACATTTGGGAGTTGCAGTGGTTGCTGGGATTTCTAGTTCACCTACAATCAAAGAGAACTCTGAACTCCGCCAATGACGGAATTGAACCAAACTTGGCACACAGAACTCCCTTGACCAACAGAAAATACTAGAAGGGTTTGGTGGGCATTGACCTTGACTTTGGGAGCTGTAGTTCACCTATATACAGAGAGTACTGTGGACTCAGACCATGATAGATCTGGACCAAACTTGGCATGAATACTCAATAGGCCCAAATGTAAACACTGGTGGAGTTTGGGGAAAATAGACCTTGATATTTGTGAGTTGTAGTTGCTGGGATGTATAGTTCACCTACAATCAAAGAGCATTCTGAACCACACAAATGATAGAACTGGGCCAAATTCCTACATAGAATCCCCATGACCAACAGATGGTCTTTGGGCCCCTCTCGACCCCCCTGGCCACCAGAGGAGGACACAGTATCATTTTGGAGGACATCTCCTTTATTATGGGATCTTGGGGTTGGGAAAACAGAAGGGAGTGGGACAACTCTTTGGATTCTGAGAAAGCAAAGTGTTGCCCGTTTCCAAATTGCGGGTGAGGATGATCCAAGTCAGGTCCATCAGGGATCTTCTTGAATTATTTCTTCTTCTTCGGGAGGGTTTGATTCCGGCCACCTTGGGCTCCTATAACAGTTTGGAGAAGTACGCCGAGACCTTCTGGAGGTATTGTGGGGCCACCTTGTCCAGTGAGTCCAGGCTCTTCTGGAATTCTGCATCCATCTCAGGGTTGAAGCCCTCGTGGTTCTTGATGGCCTCCTTCATCATCGGAACCAAGTAGGGCCTCACCCGTTCGACCACGGGGTCCAGGCGGTAGCCCACTGCGGCCACCACCTCCGCCTTGAGCTTCTTCCAGATCTTCGTGCTGTGCTTGTCTATCTCATCGATGGCCTTCTCTCCTATGTTAAACATGTCACCGACCAGGTCAATCACGGCCTCCACGAAGCCCTCCTCTTCCTTCGGGGCCTGGCCCTCGGCAGGAGCCTTGGTCGCAGCCTCGTCCTCATCCTCCAGCCATTCCCTGGAGAAGACGGAGAACGAGGAGAATGAAGAGGATGAAGGAGGAGAGTTAGAGGAAGAACATAACAGATGGAGAACGAGGAGGTGAAAGAGTATGAAGGACAAGAAGGAGAAGAAGATAACAGATGGAGAATGAGGAGGAGGAAGAGGATGAAGGACGAGAGGGAGAGGAAGAACATAATAGATGGAGAACGTGGAGGTGGAAGAGGATGAAGGAGGAGAGGGAGAGGAAGAACATAACAGATGGAGAATGAGGAGGTGGAAGAGGATGAAGGAGCAGAGTTAGAGGAAGAACATAACAGATGGAGAATGAGGAGAAGGAAGAGGATGAAGGAGGAGAGGGAGAAGATAACAGATGGAGAATGAAGAGACGGAAGAGGATGAGGGAGGAGAGAGAGAGGAAACACATAACAGATGGAGAATGAGGAGAAGGAAGAGGATGAAGGAGGAGAGTGAGAGGAAGAACACAACAGATGGAGAATGAGGAGGTGGAAGAGGATGAAGGACGAGAGTTAGAGGAAGAACATAGATGGAGAACGAGGAGGTGGAAGAGGATGAAGGACGAGAGGGAGAAGAAGAACATAACAGATGGAGAATGAGGAAGTGGAAGAGGATGAAGGACGAGAGGGAGAGGAAGAACATAACAGATGGAGAATGAGGAGGTGGAAGAGGATGAAGGACGAGAGGGAGAGGGAGAACATAACAGATGGTGAATGAGGAGAAGGAAGATGAAGGAGGAGAGTGAGAGGAAGAGCATAACAGATGGAGAAGGAAGAGAAGGAAGAGGATGAAGGAGGAGAGGGAGAACATAACAGATGGAGAAGGAGGAGGTGGAAGAGGGTGAAGGAGGAGAGGGAGAGGGAGAAGATAACAGATGGAGAAGGAAGAGAAGGAAGAGGATGAAGGAGGAGAGGGAGAACATAACAGATGGAGAACGAGGAGGTGGAAGAGGGTGAAGGAGGAGAGGGAGAGGGATAACAGATGGAGAAGGAAGAGAAGGAAGAGGATGAAGGAGGAGAGGGAGAACATAACAGATGGAGAAGGAGGAGGTGGAAGAGGGTGAAGGAGGAGAGGGAGAGGGAGAAGATAACAGATGGAGAAGGAAGAGAAGGAAGAGGATGAAGGAGGAGAGGGAGAACATAACAGATGGAGAACGAGGAGGTGGAAAAGGAGGAAAGAAAGAAGGAAAGGAAAGGAAAGGAAAGGAAAGGAAAGAAAGAAAGAAAGAAAGAAAGAAAGAAAGAAAGAAAGAAAGAAAGAAAGAAAAAAAAGGAGAAGTAAGAGCAAGGTATAGGACATGCAAAAAAGGGAGAAAAATGAGGAGGGAGGGAGGAAGAGATGAAAAAAGAGGAGAGGAAAAGGAAGAGGAGAATGAAAAGGAAGGGGAAAATGAGAAGGAGATGGAGAAGGAGGAAAGAAAGAAAGGAAGGATGAGGAAGGAAGGAAGGAAGGAAGGAAGGAAGAAAGAAAAGAAAGAAAGAAAGAAAAAGGAGAAGTAAGAGCAAGGTATAGGACATGCAAAAAAGGGAGAAAAATGAGGAGGGAGGGAGGAAGAGATGAAAAAAGAGGAGAGGAAAAGGAAGAGGAGAATGAAAAGGAAGGGGAAAATGAGAAGGAGATGGAGAAGGAGGAAAGAAAGAAAGGAAAGAAAGAAAGAAAGAAAGAAAGAAAGAAAGAAAATGGAGAAGTAAGAGCAAGGCATAGGACATGCAAAAAAAGAAGAAGAATGAGGAGGGAGGGAGGAAGAGATGAAAAAAGAGGAGAGGAAAGGGAAGAGGAGAATGAAAAGGAAGGGGAAAATGAGAGGGAGAAGGAGGAAAGAAAGAAAGAAAGAAAGAAAGAAAGAAAGAAAGAAAGAAAGAAAGAAAAGAGCAAGGCATAGGACATGCAAAAAAGGAGAAGAATGAGGAGGGAGGAAGAGATGAAAAAAGAGGAAAGTAAAAGTAGGAAAAGGAGAATGAGAAGGAGGGGGAGAAGAAAGAAAGAGAACAAGATGGAGAAAGAAGAGCAATGTATAGGACATACATAAGAAGGAGAAGAATGGAGTGATGAAAGAAAAGGAGAGGAAAAGGAAGAGGAAAGAAGGAAGAGAGAAGAAGGAAAGAAAGAAGAGGAGGGAGGAAGGAAGGAAAGGAAGGAGAAAGGAAGAAGGAGAGAAAGAGGGAGGGAAGAAGGAAGGAGAGAAGGAAGGAAGAGGAAGAAAGGGAAGGAAAGATAGAAGGAAGGATGAACAAGAGAAAGGAAGGAAGGAAAGAAAAGAGGAAGGAAAAGAAGAAGGGAAGAAAAAAGGGAGGAGGAGGGGAGGGAGGGAGGGAGGGAGGGAGGAAGGAAGGAATGGGAAGGAAGGAAAAAGGAAGAAGGGAAAAGAAAGAAGAGGAAGGAAAAAAGAAGGAAAGAAAAAGAGGGAGGGAAGGGAAAGGAGGGAAGGAGAAGAAGGAAGAAGGAAGGAAGGGAGAAGAAGAAGAAGGGAAGAAAAAGAGGGAGGGAAGGAAGGAAGGAAGGAAAGAGAGAATGAAGGATGGAACCAAAGAGCAAAGGAAGGAAAGAAAGAAGTAGAGAAGGGAAAAAGAAGAAGGGAAAGAAAAAGAGGGAGGGAAGGAAGGGAGGGAGGGAGGGAGGGAGCAAGAAAGAAGAAGGAGAAAAAGAGGGAGGGAGGGAAGGGAAGGGAGGAAGGAAGGAAGGAAAGAGGAGGGAAGAGAGAAGGAGGAAGAGAAGGAAGGATGGAACCAAAGAGCAAAGGAAGGGAAGAAAGAAAGGTAGAGAAGGAAAGAAGAAGGGAAAGAAAAAGAGGGAGGAGGGAAGGAAGGAAAGAAAGGAAGGATGGAACCAAAGAGCAAAGGAAGGGAAGAAAGAAACAGAGAAGGAAAGAAGAAGAAGGTAAAGAAAAAGAGGGAGGGAAGGAAGGAAGGGAGCAAGAAAGAAGAAGGGAAGGAAAAAGAGGGAGGGAGGGAAGGAAAGAAGGAGGGAAGGGAGAAAGAAAGAAGAAGGGAAAGAAAAAGAGGGAAGGAAGGAAGGAAGGGAGCAAGAAAGAAGAAGGGAAAGAAAAAGAGGGAAGGAAGGAAGGAAGAGAACAATGAGGAGAAAGAGGAGAAAGAGCGAGGTATAGAACATATAACTTTGTAACCTGTGAGGCTCAGGCTTACCACACCCCAAATTATTAACCCAAAATTCAATCAGTGTCCCTCCCAAACATCAGGGTGCAAGATCATGATATCTTTCAGGGGATGAATGGGGACTGTCCTTGCCAAACTGGAAACATTAGGGGATACGCAGTACGGCTGGGGAAAAGGGGATTTGCTTACGCTATGATCTTGCCGGTCTCTGATTTCTTGAACTGCTCCCATCGGTGGTCTGTGGTGTTGTCGATTTCATCCATAAAATGATCAAAATCATCGAGGAGCTCGGACAGCTTGCTCGGGGCGTGCGGTTCCGGGGCCGAGCGGATGACGAGGGCCTGGGACCCTGGAAGAATTTAGTGGGCATTGACCTTGAGTTTGGGAGTTGTAGTTCACCTATATCCAGAGAGCACTGTGGACACATGCAATGATGGATCTGGACCAAACTCTACACAAATACTCAATATGCCCAAATGTGGTGGAGTTTGGGGAAAATAGACCTTGATATTTGGGAGTTGTAGTTGCTGGGATTTATAATTTACCTATAATCAAAGAGTATTCCGAATACCACCAACAATGTATTTGAACCAAACTTGGCACACAGAACTCCCATGACCAGCGGAAAACACTGGAAGAATTTAGTGGGCATTGACCTTGAGTTTGGGAGTTGTAGTTCACCTATATCCAGAGAGCACTTCGGACACATGCAATGATGGATCTGGACCAAACTCTACACAAATACTCAATATGCCCAAATGTGAACACTGGTGGAGTTTGGGGAAAATAGACCTTGATATTTGGGAGTTCTAATTGCTGGGATTTATTGTTCACCTACAATCAAAGAGCATTCTGAACTCCACCAATGATGGAATTGGACCAAACTTGGCACACAGAACTCCCATGACCAACGGAAAACACTGGAAGGGTTTGGTGACCATTGACCTTGAGTTTGGGAGTTGTAGTTCACCTATACCCAGAGATCACTGTGGACTCATGCAATGATGGATCTGGACCCAACTTGGCATGAATACTCAATATGCCCAAATGTGAACAGTGGTGAAGTTTGGGTAAAATAGATCTTGACATTTGGGAGCTGTAGTTGCTGGGATGTATAGTTTACCTCCAATCAAAGAGCTCCACCAATGATGTCTTTTCTACTGGTCTTTGGTGACCCCTCTGGAACCCCCTTACGACAACCCCCCAGGGGTCCCGACCCCCAGGTTGAGAAACACTGGTGTAGATGTACCCGTGGAGGCCTCCCGTAAGCTGTGGCCACCACCGTGGCACATCTAAGGTCACCTATGGAGTCCCAACGCATTGCCCACCTGGGCTGTCCACTCACCTGCAAAGACAGCCAAGGCCAAAGAGATGATCCAGAGCTTCATGGTGATCCAGAAGAAGTCACGCTGGGGATGGAAAGGAAGGTGCCTCTGAATGATGAGATGGACCTTCACATCTGGGAATTAAATAGCAATCCCAGCACCCAGGTCAGCCTATTGTAAATCATTAACGCAGGACGTGTGGGAACGTCCTCTTCCACCCACCAGTTTGGGGTTCATTGTCCCAGCGTCGCCCACACACAAAAAACAACACCCCGTTGCAAAATAACACCGGAGAGTTGTGTCAATAAGAAGGAATAATTGAGTGTGGTGCAACTAGTGTTACACTCCAGGACAGGAATAACCCTCTGGCTTTAAAACACCACACGTTGAATAGGGAAAACAATCCTTTTATTGAAGATAAGTAAAAACATCAAAGTAAAAAAGACTCTTTAAAGGAATAGGTAAATCCAATGAGGTAAAAAGATAAGCAGAAACAAATTAGTCCAAGGAATAACTCTCTGACTTTAAAACACCACACGTTGAATAGGGAAAACAATCCTTATATTGAAGATAAGTAAAAGCATTAAAGTAAAAAAGACGCTTTAAAGGAATAGGTAAATCCAATGAGGTAAAAAGATAAGCAGAAACAAATTAGTCCAAGGAATAACTCTCTGACTTTAAAACACCACACGTTGAATAGGGAAAACAATCCTTATATTGAAGATAAGTAAAAGCATCAAAGTAAAAAAAGACGCTTTAAAGGAATAGGTAAATCCAATGAGGTAAAAAGATAAGCAGAAACAAATCAGTCCAAGGTAGAGTTCAGAGAATCATAGAATCAAAGAGTTGGAAGAGACCCCCTGGGCCATCCAGTCCAACCCCATTCAGACCATAGAATCATAGAATCAAAGAGTTGGAAGAGTTGAAGATAAGTAAAAACATCAAAGTAAAAAAGACGCTTTAAAGGAATAGGTAAATCAAACTAGGTAAAAAGATAAGCAGAAACAAATTAGTTCAAGGTAGAGTTCATAGAATCATAGAATCAAAGAGTGGGAAGAGACCTCCTGGACCATCCAGTCCAACCCCATTCTGCCAAGAAGCAGGAATATTGCATTCAAATCACCCCTGACAGATGGCCATCCAGCCTCTGTTTAAAAGCTTCCAAAGAAGGAGCCTCCACCACACTCCGGGGCAGGGAGTTCCACTGCTGAACGGCTCTCACAGTCAGGAAGTTCTTCCTCGTGTTCAGATGGAATCTCCTCTCTTGTAGTTTGAAGCCATTGTTCCATTGCGTCCTAATCTCCAGGGAAGCAGAAAACAAGCTTGCTCCCTCCTCCTCCCTGTGGCTTCCTCTCACATATTTATACACTCCAGGACAGGAATAACCCTCTGGCTTTAAAACACCACACGTTGAATAGGGAAAACAATCCTTTTACTGAAGATAGGTAAAAACATCAAAGTAAAAAAGACGCTTTAAAGGAATAGGTAAATCCAATTAGGTAAAAAGATAAGCAAAAACAAATTAGTCCAATGTATTGTCGAAGGCTTTCATGGCCGGAATCACTGGGTTGTTGTAGGTTTTTTTTCTGGCTATATGGCCATGGTCTAGAGGCATTCTCTCCTGACGTTTCGCCTGCATCTATGGCAAGCATCCTCAGAGGGAGTGAGGTCTGTTGAAACTAGGAAAAGGGGTTTATATATCTGTGGAATGACCAGGGTGAGACAAAGGACTCTTGTCTGCTGGAGCTAGGTATGAATGTTTTCAACTGACCGGGGGCTCCTCTTTGGCTAAGGACCTTGTAAAACTACATCTCCCATGTATCCATAGCAGTTAAAGTGGTACCAAACTGCATTCCTTCTAGAGCAAAAGGTACACCTATATTGTTGAATTGTATCCAGCTTGACAACACCTTCATAGTCATTGCTCGATACCGTGGAGTAATATGGGCACGCACCAGCACTCTTTGGCTAAGGACCTTGTAAAACTACACCTCCCGTGTGTCCATAGCTGTTAAAGTGGTGCAAAACTGCATTCCTTCTAGAGCAAAAGGTACACCTATATTGTTGAATTGTATGTAGCTTGACAACACATGCTCGATACCGTGGAGTAATATGGGCACGCACCAGCACTCTTTGGCTGAGGACCTTGTAAAACTACATCTCCCGTGTATCCATAGCAGTTAAAGTGGTACCAAACTGCATTTCTTCTAGAGTGTAGATGCACCCCTGGTTGGCATCTGTGCCATGTTGGGGGTATTGGGGATTGCCATAGTGACCCCAAACTTTTCTAACTGCATAGATACAGTAAAACTACAACTCCCAGATCCGAAAATCTGTCCGGAAAAACACCGTGACCCATATGCAAAGTTGGCCTCTCCTGCCATAGGTTTAGGATGTATTTGCTCAAATGGCTTGCTTTACGTAACCAACTCGAGTTCATTCTCGTTGAATGGCGGTCTGCTCCCGCTATGGGACAATGACCCAGCGGGAGAGGCAAAAAGGGGACATCAGCCCCCATATTTCCCCCATTAAAGTCCTTCACAAGGTAAGGATTATGTGATCATTGGGGCCCCGCGAAGGATCGGCGCGTGTTTTTGTTCCCAATATGTTCAGAAATGGTCTGGAGTTCAGGGACAAATGGCAAAGCCAGCAAAAAAAAGTAAGATTTGGAGATAATAAATGTATCGCATGGAAGTCCAAATGTTTCTCTCCAAACTGTAGGAGAAAGGGCAAAAGGGATTCGTTGCAATGTAAACAAATGGGGGCACTTGGGGTCAGGGAATCAATCCTGGCTTCATATAGGCATCAAGGGGTTCTGAGCATGGAAACTGCGCCGGTACGCCATGGGCGACCCGTTATTGACAGGGCAAAAGGCCAAAAACAGGTCCAATGTTGGGTTGTTGTAGGATTTTTCGGGCTATATGGTCATGTTCTAGAAGCATTCTCTCCTGATGTTTCTCCTGCATCTATGGCAAGCATCCTCAGAGGTTGTGCAATGGTTGTGCAACTGCACAATGGAACAATGGCTTCAAACTACAAGAGAGGAGATTCCATCTGAACATTAGGAAGAACTTCCTGACTGTGAGAGCCGTTCAGCAGTGGAACTCTCTGCCCCGGAGTGTGGTGGAGACTCCTTCTTTGGAAGCTTTTAAACAGAGGCTGGATGGCCATCTGTCAGGGGTGATTTGAATGCAATATTCCTGCTTCTTGGCAGAATGGATGGCCCAGGAGGTCTCTTCCAACTCTAGGATTTTATGATTCTATGATTCTAAGTGGAAAAATGCATGCATTTGGAGGCAGAGAAGAAATCTCAACTTCATATGTGCAGCAATGGGTTGTATAATTTGGAAATTGCACAGTTTCACAGTGAGTGACGTTTTATTTGCAATGCAAAGGACGAAAAGATGGCCGAAGCTTCCACAAACCCATTTATATTATTATTATTATTATTATTATTATTAGGTAAAACGTTCCTCTCCAAACAGGTAATGATTCATTGCAAGGAAGGAGAAAATGCATGCATTTGGTGAAAGAAAAGAAATCTCAACTTCATATGTGCAGCAATGGGTTGTATAATTTGGAAATTGCATAGTTTCACAGTGAGTGACGTTTTATTTGCAATGCAAAGGACGAATAGCAGGGCGAAGCTTGCACAAACCCATTTATTTAATTTATTTAAATTATTATTATTGTTGTATTGTTGAAGGCTTTCATGGCCGGAATCACTGGGTTGTTGTAGGTTTTTCCGGGCTATATGGCCATGTTCTAGAGGCATTTTCTCCTGACGTTTCGCCTGCATCTATGGCAAGCATCCTCAGAGGTAGTGAAATCTGTTGGAAGTAGGAAAATGGGTTTCTATATCTGTGGAATGACCACGGTGGGACAAAGGACTCTTGTCTGCTGGAGCTAGGTATGAATGTTTCAACCTAGCATGTTCACATGCTTGTGGATTTCAGTGGCTTCTCTGTGTAGTCTCTCTCACAACTCTCACAACCACTGTTATAGAGCTAAAATTTAGGGGTCTTTGCCAGGAGGCAGAGACCAATTAGACTCATCAGAGTTCTTTTTCCCTGGCGAGACAGAGAAGCATCCCATATTTTTCCCTGATTTCCCAATGAAAAGTCTCACCAGTTGAAGAAAAGCCATCGAGGTTTAATGCGATTCAGCTGGAATGGGTGCAAAGCTGCAATCATTCGCCAAAGCTAAGCATGAGGGGAGTATACCAATACAGTCATATTTATAGCAAACTCAAAGTTGCAGAGTTCAAACTCCCCGCCCCGGCTTCCCTGTTGTTCCCCGCCGTGATTGGGCAATGGGCGAACAGCTGTGAGGCGGCCCTCCCGCCCCCGGCACCTCTGGACCAATCAGGAAGCTCCAGTGGCCGTAAGATCCAATGGGGAGACATCTGCCACCTGGTCGCAACAGCAAATCAGGAGAGAGAGAGGCGGGGTGAGGGAACACAATAGAGTCTATTAATGAGTTTTGAAAAAAAGGAAATGCCATGTGGCCTGCGAGACAAAGGAAAAGTCTCAAACAGGGCTAGTCTATTGTCCCTTGAGTGGCATGTGTGAGGAAAGACCAGATTTTTCCAGGCCAGCAAACAGGAAAACAATGAAGATAAGGCTGAAGTGATTGTTCTTTGTTGAATATACAGTAAATTTTAATCAGTGCGGAGGTGAGGGCTTTCCTAAGGCCCACTGATCTCCAGATAGGGAAATGGCCAGGGGTCTGCCAGGGGGCAAACAGCATTCTTGGACAAACCTCCGAAAACAAAGCCATCTGCCAGTCTATTTTCCATGGAAAGGAAACCGTGGATTAGGGTCTTTGAGATGTCTGGAGCTCTGCAATCCCTTGGTGGGATTTCCTCATGAGTATAGGTCAATAAAAAGGGGAAAGCCTTTGCTACGAGGAAATCATGAAATATATATTATGTGTCCACAGTTCATATTATTCATAGGAAGGTCCATAAAGGGAAATATCGATGAGGGGAAAAGAGAGTCCCTTGTTTGTGAGATGGGGGGCCATCAGGAGCCCAGGTGTGTCCCAGGTGGGAAAAATCAAATACTTTTGTGGCATGTTTTCAGTAATAAATTGGTTACCTTCTGCTATAAACATATGAAAATTATCCAGCCTGGTGTCCTTGCCCTTAGCAAAAATATAAGTTGCTCTCTCTAATGTGGGGTCATGTTCCACTTCACCACCATGTCAGACTACACAGAGAAGCCATTGAAATCCACAAGCATGTGGACAATTTCAACAGAAAGGAAGAGACCATGAAAATGAACAAAATCTGGCTACCAGTATGAAAAAACTCTAAAATTACAACAGCAAAACAACAGAGAGTAAACAATCAGGCACATCTAATCACCTCTCAACAAAAGATTCCCCCCAGGCACTTCCAAACCATTAAATGCTAATCAAGGTGGTCCGTTGAAATATTCACACCTAGCTCCAGCAGACAAGAGTCCGAATGCAAAGGACGAAAAGCAGGCCGAAGCTTCCACAAATCCATTTATTTAATTTATTTAATTATTTTTATTTATTTATTTGGGTCAAACAAGTCGAGTATAAGTTTCTAAAGTTCTAAACGTCTAAACCCATGTATTTAAAAAGTCCGGGTAACTACAACAACGTGTATTTACACCCTTTTTTTCAACCATGGTGGCTTTTTCTCCCCTTGCTTTCACCAATCCATTGCTTTTGGGGATGCTCAGCAGGACCTTCCGCCCATTCCTTAAACTCCTCCATGTACTTCCGGACGGCTTGGAGGACGGACTCCACCAAGGGCTGGAAGGTCCGCTTGATCTTCTCCATCCCTTCCTTGAACTTCTCGTAGGGCGCCCACGAAGCCTGGAAGGCCTCCAGTTTGTTCCGCAGCCCTTCGGCGTAAGGCACCAACTGGTTCCTCAGCTCTCCCAGTTGCCGCTCCAGCTTCTCAACCAGTTTGGGCCTCTTCAGCTTGTTGGCGGCTTCGGCCACCGTCCGGCGCATGGCGTTCGTGTAGGTGTCCACCGTCCGGGCCACCGAGTTGGCGAAAGGGAGCACCGTGTCATAGAAAGACGTGACCAGCTCGTCTGCGGCTGGGGTGGCCTTGTCCTTCAAGCCGCGGAGCGAGTCCAGGCCCTTCTTGACCACCTCCATGGAGACCCCCACCACCTGCTTGTAGGCCTGAAAGACCTCCGCAGGAAGCTCCCTCTTCAGCTCCATCACCCGCTGCTTCACCCCATGGAGCTGGTCTCTGTTAGGAAGACAAACAAAGAGAAGAGGAAGAATGGAGTGAATCAAAGTGGTGGTGGTGGGGATGATGATGACTGTTATCAAACTACAAGAGAGGAGATTCCATCTGAACATAAGGAAGAACTTCCTGACTGTGAGAGCCGTTCAGCAGTGGAACTCTCTGCCCCGGAGTGTGGTGGAGGCTCCTTCTTTGGAAGCTTTTCAACAGGGGCTGGATGGCCATCTGTCAGGGGTGCTTTGAATGCAATATTCCTGCTTCTTGGCAGAATGGGGCTGGACTGGATGGCCCAGGAGGTCTCTTCCAACTCTTTGATTCTAGGATTCTATGATTCTATTCTATATCCATGGTGTTGTTGGGACCGCTGGTTGCCTACAGTGGCCACTCTTTAAGGCTGTTCCATTCTTCCCTCCCTTTTCCTCATATACCTTCTCCCTCTCTCTTTTTTCTTTCTTTCCTCTTCCCTTCTTTTTCTCTCTTAACGCTCTTACCTTCAACCCTCCTCCCTTGCTTTCTCTCGTATGCTTTTCTTCCTTCCTACCTTCCTTCCTTCCTTCCTTCCTTCCTTCCTTCCTTCCTTCCTTCTCTTCCTTTCTTCCTTCCCTCCTTCCTTCCCTTCCCTTCCCTTTCCTTCCCTCCCTTCCCTTCCTTCCCTCCCTTCCTTCCTTTCCTTTCTCTTCCCTCTTTTTCTCTCTTTCCTTCATACCTTTTCCTCTTTCCCCTTTCTTCCTTTCCTCTTATGGTTCTTTCCCCTTCCCCTTCTTTTTCTTTTCCTACCTTCCTTCCACTCTTATTTCTTCTCTTCCTTTCTTTGTCTTTTTTCCCTTCGTTTCATACCTTTCCCCTTTCCCTTTTCTTTCTTCTTTCTTGCCTCCTTTCCCTTATTTTTTCTTTCTTTCTGCTTTCCTTCCTTCCTCTCTTCTTACTTCCCTTCTTTTCTCTTCCCATCTTTTTCTTTCTTTCCTTCATACCTTTTCCTCTTTCCCCTTCCTTCCTTTCCTCTTATTTCCTTCCCCTTCTTTTTCTTTTCCTACCTTCCTTCTACTCTTTTTCTTCTCCTTCTCTTCTCTTCCCTTCTTTTTCTTCCTTTCCTTCCTTTCCCCTTTCCTTCCTTTCTTCTTCCTCCTTTCTTATTTTTTCTCCTTCCTTCCTTCCTTCCTCCTTCCTTCCTTCCTTCCTTCCTTCCTTCCTTCCTTCCTTCCTTCCTTCCTTCCTTCCTTCCTTCCTTCCTCTGGCTCTCATATTTCTTCTCTTTCTTTCTTTTCCCTTCTTTCTCTTTCTTCCCTCCCTTTCATACCTCCCCCCTTCCCCCTTTCTTCCTTCCTTTCCACCTATTCCTTCCCTTTCTTTTTCTTCCTTCCTCTTTTATTTCTTCTCTTCCTTTTTCTTCCTTTCCTTCTCTTTCTTTCCTTCCCTTCACACCTTTTCCACTTTCCCTTTTCTTCCTTTCCTCCTATTTTCCTTCCTTCTTTCCCTTCTTTTTCTCCTTCCTTCCTCCCTCTCTTTTCTTCCTTCTCTTTCCTTCTTCTCTCTTCCTTCCTTTCTTCCTTCCTTCCTTCCTTCCTTCCTTCCTTCCTCCCTCCCTCCCCTTCCTTCCTTCTTTTTTCCTTCTTTTCTTTCTCTTCCCTTTTTTCTCTTCCCTCCCTTCCTCCTTTCCCCTTTCCCTTTCTTCTTTCCTTCCCTCCTATTCATTTCTCCCTCCCTCTCCTCCCTCCCTGACTCTCTTATTCCTTCTTTCTTGCTTTTCCCTTCTTTCTCTTTCTTCCCTTCTCTTCATACCTTTCCCTTCCCCCTTTTCCCCTCCCTCCCTCCCTCTCTTATTTCTTCTCTTCCTTTCCCTTTCTTTTTTCTTTCTTTCTTTCCTTCCCTTCATACTTTTCCCCTTTCTTTTTTCTTCCTTCCTTCCTCTCTTATTTCTTCACTTCCTTCTTCATCCCTTCTTTCTTCCCTTCCTTCCCTTCCTTTCCCCCTTTCCCTCCTTCCTTCCTTCCTTCCTTCCTTCCTTCCTTCTCTTCCTTTCCTTCCTCTCTTTTTTCTTTTCCTTTCTCTTTCTCAGTTTGGATCCCTCCCTTTCCCTCATACACTGTGAACCTTTTCCTCCCTTTCCCTCATACACAATTGTGTCCCTTTCCCCTTGTTTTTCTTCCTTTCCTCCTTCCTTCCTTCCTTCCTTCCTTCCTTCCTTCCTTCCTTCCTTCCTTCCTTCCCTTCTTCCTTCCTTCCTTCCTTCCTTCCTTCCTTTTCTTCATACACTTGCCACCTTTCTTTCCCTTTGACATTCCAGATGTCCGACTTTGATCTCAGGGACCGAGAAAAGGGTTAAAACAGAAAGCAGAAAGCGAGGTTTCCCCACATCTTTCAGCCCGCACAATTTCCTGAACTGGAACATCATCATCATCATCATCATCATCATCATCATCATCATCACCATCATCATCACCATCACCATCATCATCATCATCATCCTCAGGATCCCTACCTTTCCCCACTATTAAGGACTCCCAGGCACAAGATTGAACCCAAAAGAGAGGAACTCCCCACAGGAAGGACTTACACCAGCGCCTGGGTGAGCTCCAGCCTTCGGATGTAGTCTATCTGTTCCTTCACGACTTGGGTCATGTTCCTCAGGTATTCCTGCAAGTCGCCTTTTAACTTCTCCAGCTGGGGATTGGCCTCGTTTTGGAGGATGAACGCCTGGCATCCTGGAAGAGAAGGAGAAATGTAGGCACCTAATGGCCTCACAGGATCCTAGAGCTGGAAGGGACCCCCAAAGGTCATCTAGTCCAACCCCGGGCAGGATGACACCATCAAAACACTCCCAACAGCATCTGCTCCAAAACCTTCAGAGAAGGAGACTCCATTGGACTCCCAAGCAATCTACATTGCATTAGATTTAGAAGGGGTTCCCAAGAGTCATCTAGTCCACCCCTCTTCTGCCAGGGAACCCCAGAGGTCATCCAGTCCAGCCCTGTTCTGCCATAAAGGAAGACTCAATGGAAGCCCTCTTGATAATTTGCCCTGTTTGGCCGAGAAGTAAGTAAGAACTTTGTCAAACTACAACTCAAAGTTCATCTAATTTACAGTGCAGATGCACCCTTCATGAAACTAGATTTCCCAAGGTACATTCTACAGTGTAAGATGCACCCTTCATGAAACTACTACTCCCAATATACATTTTACAACATAGATGCACCCTTAGCGAAACTACAACTCCCAGGATCCCACAGCAGTGTAGATGCACCCTTCATGAAACTAGAACTCCCAAGGTACATTCTGCAGTGTAAGATGCACCCTTCATGAAAGTACTACTCCCAATATACAGTTTACAACATAGATGCACCCTTAGCGAAACTACAACTCCCAGGATCCCACAGCAGTGTAGATGCACCCTTCATGAAACTAGAACTCCCAAGGTACATTCTACAGTGTAAGATGCACCCTTCATGAAACTACTACTCCCGATATACATTTTACAGCATAGATACACCCTTAGTGAAACTACAACTCCCAGGAACCCACAGCAGTGTGGATGCACCCTTCATGAAACTAGAACTCCCATGGTACATTCTACAGTGTAAGATACACCCTTCATGAAACTACTACTCCTGATATACATTTTACAGTAAAGACTCACCCATAGTGAAACTACAACTCCCAGGATCCCTCTGCAGTGTAGATGAAACTAGAACTCTCAAGGTATATTTTACAGCATAAGATGCACCCTTCATGAAACTACTACTCCTGATATACATTTTACAGTGAAGATTCACCCTTAGTGAAACTACAACTCACAGGATCCCACAGCAGTATAGATGCACCCTTCATGAAACTGGAACTCCCAAGGTACATTCTACAATGTAAGATGCACCCTTCGTGAAACTAGAACTCCCCAAGTACATTCTACAATGTAAGATGCACCCTTCGTGAAACTAGAACTCCCCAGGTACATTCTACAATGTAAGATGAACCCTTCGTGAAACTACTACTCCCAATATACAGCGTAGATGCACCCTTCATGGAACTAGAACTCCCAAGGTACATTCTACAGTGTAAGATGCACCCTTCGTGAAACTACTACTCCCAATATACAGCGCTGATGCACCCTTCATGAAACTAGAACTCCCAAGGTACATTCTACAGTGTAAGATGCACCCTTAGTGAAACTACAACTCAATTGAAAATGGGGCGAACCTTCCACTCACCTGTGAAAATGGCCAAAGCTAGTGCCATAGTGAGGACCTTCATGGTGGCCCAACGCTGGATGTTCTGCAGAACCTTGTGGTGTGGAATCAATGGGACGGGTGGGTTTTAAGGGCCTTTGGAGGGCTTTCCCCAGCCCCTTTGCATCCTTTATTAACTCCCCGCCGGCCTCGGGCGTCTGCGGACGTGCGGGTGGGCGCCCTTTGCAAACACTGCAATTTCCAAAGTCCCCGAAAGCCATAAAAAGAGAAGGCCACACATTTGGGAAAGCGTTGAGCAAGTCGGGAAAGAGGCCATAAATGAATCAGCAGGCCTTCTTCTTCGTGTCCACGCTTGGGCTTATCTCTCCCAAGGACACATCCCCACCGTAGAACGGATGCAGTTTTGACCTGCCTTGGCGGAAAGTACTATGCGGTCCTGGGAATTGTAGTTTCACTAAGAGTGCACCTGGAGCGAAGAATGAATGCCATTTGGCATCACTTGAACTTCCCTGGCTCAGTGCTATGGGATCCTGGGAGTTGTAGTTTCACTAAGGGTGCATCTTACACTGTAAAATGTATTTTGGGAATTCTAGTTTCTTAAATGGGTTATCTGCAATCTAAATTGGATTCACTTTGACCCTACTTGAACTGCCATGGCTCAATGCAATGGGATCGTGGGAGTTGTGGTTTAATGAACGATGCATCTGCACTTCCATGGCTCAATGTAACGGAGTCCTGGGAATTGTAGTTTGCATTCTTAGTCAGAGAGAAGGCTAAATACGTACCTTGCAAAACTACAACTCCTCGGATACCTGGTAGCATTGAGTCATGACAGTTCAAGTGGATTCAAACTTCACACATTTCAAATCTGTACAGATTACATTTCTGAAATTGGAAAGCAAAATATATATGTATATACAATACATATATGTATGTGTAGGTAGGTAGGTAGTTAGGTAGGTAGGTAGATAGATAGATAGATAGATAGATAGATAGATAGATAGATAGATAGATAGATATTGGAGAAGAGGATGTGAAAATACCAACTTCCCTCTTTCCTTCCTTCTTTCTTTCTCTCCTTCCTTCCTTCTTTACCTCTTTCCTTCCTTCCCCCCTTTTTCTTTTCCTCCTTTTCTCTCCTTTCTTCCTTCTCTATCTCTTTCTGTCCTTCCTTCTCTCTTTGCTTCCATCCTTCCTTCTCTCTTTCCTTCTCTCCCTCTTTCTCTCCTTCTTCCCCTCCTTCCTTTGCTCCCTCTTCCTTCCTTCCTTCCTTCCTTCCTTCCTTCCTTTCCTTCCTTCCTTCCTTCCTTCCTTCCTTCCCTCCTTCTTCCCTCCTTCTCTCTCCTTTCCCCTTCCTTTTCTTCTCTTTCCTTCCTTTCCTTTCTTTTGCTTCCTCCCTTCCTTCTCTCTTTTCTTCCTTCCCTTTCTCCCCTTCCTTCCCTTCCTCTTTCCTTCCTTTTTTCTTCCTTTCTCTCCTTCCTTCTCTATCTCTTTCCTTCCTTCCACCCTTTTTCTTTTCCTCCCTTTCTCTCCTTCCCTCCTTGTCTCTATCTTTTTCCTTCTTTCTCTCTCTCTTTGCTTCCATCCTTCCTCCTCTCCTTCCTTCTCTCCCTCTTCTCTCCTTCTTCCCCTCCTTCCTTCTTCCCCTTTTCTTCTTTCCTTCTCTCCTTCCTTCTCTACCTCTTTCATCCCTTTTTCTTTTCCTTTCCTTTCTCTCCTTCCTTTCTTCTCTATCTCTTTACTTCCTTCCCCCTTTTTCTTTTCCCTCTTTCTTTCTCTCTTTCTTCCTTCTCTACCTCTTTCCTTCCTTCCTTTGCTCTTTGCTTCCATCCTTCCTTCTCTCTTTCCTTCTCTCCCTCTTTCTCTCCTTCTTCCCCTCCTTCCTTTGCTCCCTCTTTCTTCTTCCTTCCCTTTCTCTTTCCTTCTCTCCTTCCTTCTCTCCTTCCTTCTCTCTTCTTTCCTTCCTTCCTTCCTTCCTCCCTTTCTCTCCTTCCTTCCCTCCCTCCCTTTCCTTCCCTTTGTTTTTTCTTTCCCTCTCTCCTTCCTTCCTTCTCCACCTCTTTCCTTCCTCCTCCCTTTTTTTTCCTTCCTCTCTCCTTTCTTCCTTCCCCTCTTTCCTCCTCCTCCTCCCCCTTTCTTTTTCCTCCTTTTCTCTCCTTTCTTCTTCTCTACCTCTTTCCTTCCTTCCTTCTCTCTTTGCTTTCCATGCTTCCTTCCCTTTCCTTCTTTCCTTCTCTCCCTCTTCTCTCCTTCTTCCTTCCTTCCTTTCTTCCTTCCTTCCTTCCTTCCTTCCTTCCTTCCTTCCTTCTTCCTTCCTTCCTTCCTTCCTTCCTTCCTTCCTTCCTTCCTTCCTTTCTCCCCTTCCTTCCTTCCCTCCCTCTTCCTTCCCTTTTTATATGTATCGTCATTTAGCTTTTTGTCATTTAGCTTTATTTGCTTTTTAAGTCTCTTCTGCTGTGTTTTTCAGTGTTTTGATGAGTGATGGTCACTCATTGGCCTGAGAGGTGTCTTGTGTCCAAATTTGGTGTCCATTCGTCCAGTGCTTTTTGAGTTCTGTTCATCCCACAAACTAACATTACCTTTTTATTTATATAGAAGACTATAAGAATTCCACCAGCAGAGGGCAATGGAGGCTAGAAGAAAGCATGCAATCTATATACATAAACAAACATGTCATGTTCGTTTGTGGGATTAACAGAACTCAAAAACCACTGGATGAATGGACACCAAATTTGGACACACGACACCTGACAGGCCAATGTATGTCCTTCACTCAAAAAAATTGATTTTGTCATTTGGGAGTTGTAGTTGCTGGGATTTATAGTTCACTTACAATCAAAGAGCATTCTGAACTCCACCAATGATGGAATTGAACCAAACTTAGCACACACTCCCATGACCAACAGAAAAAAAAACTAGAAGGGTTTGGTGGGCATTGACCTCGAGTTTGGGAATTGTAGTTCACCCACATCCAGAGAGCACTGTGGACTCAAACAATGATGGATCTGGACCAAACTTGGCACAAATACTCAATATGCCCAAATATGAACACGGATGGAGTTTAAGGGAAATAGACCTTGACATTTGGGAGTTGTAGTTGCTGGGATTTATAGTTCACCTACAATCAAAGAGCATTCTGAACTCCACCAATGATGGAATTGAACCAAACATGGCATACAGGACTTCCATGACCAACAGAACACACTGGAAGGGTTTGGTGGGCATTGACCTTGAGTTTGGGAGTTGTAGTTCACCTACATCCAGAGAGCACTGTGGACTCAAACAATGATGGATCTGGACCACACTTGGCATGAATATTCCATATGCCCAAATATGAACACAGATGGAGTTTGGGGGAATAGACCTTGACATTTGGGAGTTGTAGTTACTGGGATTTATAGTTCACCTACAATCAAAGAGCATTCTGAACCCCACCAACGACAGAGTTGGGGCAAACTTTCCACACAGAATTCCCATGACCAACTGAATACACTTAAGGTCATCCAGTCCAACTCCTTTCACCAGGGCAAGAAAACCCTCCTGACAGAGAGCCATCCAGCCATAGATATAGATAGATAGATAGATAGATAGATAGATAGCACAGGCCTAATAGATAGATATGATTCACACACAGAGAGATATAGTATCATAGATTTGAAAGGGACCCCTAAAGAAGGACAATTATATGTTGCATGTTCCAGAGTAGGCAAACCAGACAATCTCCACATCAACACTGACAAAGAAACAGCAAGAAATACTGTTTACCCACAAACATAAAGAAATTACATATATTAGAAACCAACACTTTCTCATTACTTTATTTTCCAGATCAACAGACTGGGCCACAGCGACACCTGGCAGTGGGTGGCTAGTAATGATATATGTACAATGATCAAAATCTGGCTACCAGTATTAAAAAAACTCTAAAATCACAACAGCACAACAACAGAGAGGAAACAAACAAGGACATCTAATCACCTCTCAACAAAAGTTTGCTCCAGGCACTGTCAGTCATCAAATGCTAATCAAGGTGGTCAGTTGAAACATTCACACCTAGGTTCTTGTGGGTTTTTTCAGGCCATGTTCTAGAGGCATTTTCTCCTGACGTTTCGCCTGCATCTATGGCAAGCATCCTCCTCACTACCTCTGAGGATGCTTGCCTAGATGCAGGCGAAACGTCAGGAGAAAATGCCTCTAGAACATGGCCATATGGCCCGGAAAAACCTACTGCCCCAGGGACTGCCAGGCCATCAAATGCTAAACAAACATTCACACCTAGCTCCAGCAGACAAGAGTCCTTTGTCCCACCCTGGTCATTCCACAGATATATAAACCCATTTTCCTAGTTCCAACAGACCTCACTACCTCTGAGGATGCTTGCCATAGATGCAGGCGAAACGTCAGGAGAAAATGCCTCTAGACCATGGCCATATAGTTCAAAAAAACCTACAACAATCCAATGATGTCTGCATTTCTTGTATTTCTCTATCCCAGTAGGTTTTGCAAGACCCTCTTCTATCTTATCTCTCCTTTTCTTTTCTTTGTTCCCCCGCTTCTCCCTTTTGAATAAGGAAAACTACAACTCCCAAGATGCCATAGCACTGGGCCATGGTGGTCAAAGTGGTGTCAAACCGCATCCATTCCACAGTGTTGACGCACTCTTTGCAAAAATACAACTCTGGCAATCCATAGCAATGAGCCTTGGCAGCCAAAGTGACATCAAAGTAGATTAATTCTGCGGTGTAGATGCCCCCAAGGCTCCTTAGAATGGTGTCACTCCTGCCATTTGAAGGCTAGGCTTTAGTCAGCGAGATCTATTAGCCGAAGCAGAGACAAAGTTATCAGCGAGATGGGGAGAAGCTGAAGTTGAAATTGCAAAAGACCCATTGCAAAAAAAGAAGAAGAAAAGGTGCCAATAATTAGGGAAAGGTTATCAATGGAGGGCAAAGGTGTGTGTTGTGTCTTTGCTTTGAAATAAGGGATCTGGTTGTATACCTACAGGAAAGGCCATTGTTTGCATCCAAAGGTATTCCAGGCTCTCTGTGTTTTGAAACCCTCCTGAATCAGATTACTAAGCAGGGCCGGCCTTGGT